GAGCTGGCCGAGCCTCCCAGCGCCGCCGCTCTCGGGGTTCCCGGGACCGGACTTTAGTCTGAACCCCAGCCGCAGCTCCCGCAACCTCTCCAGGAACGGAGGAGCCAGCGGCCGCGGCCAGCCAAAGGGGAAGAAGGGGACGAGCCCAGTTGCACACGCCCCCTAGCCCTTCTGGACTCCGCCCCCGCGCAGTCCGGCAGGCTGGGAGGTGCGGACCGAGGGCGGCAGCGGAGGACACAGAGCCCTACCCGCGGGCGCACTACGTGACCCCGCCTCCAGCGTGACCCCGCCTCTACGTCAGGGCGCTCCGCCCGGTTCGGGCCGACGGGCGCGCAGGCGCACTTCCAGACTTGTTTTGACAGCTTCGGGCAGCCGGGGATGGGCAGGAGCAGGTGTCGCGAGAGTTGGCTGCAAGCCTCCTGGTGCGGCTGGAACTATGGCGAGCTCCGGGATCCAGGCGGAACAGGAGCCGCTCTTGGGCGACCGTACACCCGGAAGCAGGTCAGCGGATGCGGGTAGAAGGACCCCTTGCCCTCTCGCGCAGTTGAGTTTGGCTCGTTTCCCGGCGTCAGCCGCACGGGGCAGAACTCTCTCTGCAGACTACGAGAGGAGTGCCCCGGCGCGGTAGCCCGAGGCTGGTCGTTGCAGCCGGCGAGATTCGCTCCGGATCGAGGAATTAGGGGCTTGGGCCGCGGGGGCGGTCAGCCGGTGGGTTCGCGTGAAGGTGTGAGAGAAACCCCTTCTGCCTCTGACTTTCACTGCAGCACATCATGTAGCAGCCGAGCCAATGTATTCATTTGCCCATAAAACTGATCACTTTCCAGTTCACAAAAGTTCCAAAATGATGGTTTCAATCGATACTTGAAGATAACTGTGTTAGTACTGCCTGCCTAGGTAACCTGTTAACTTGTTGATATTTTATTAGTAGGTAAGACTGCTAAAAACGGGCTCACCTTTTTCCAGTGTCGAATGTACAAATAAAGACTAATTTCCACGCTGCTCAAATCTCTCTGCTTGTACACACGCACACACACCTCCTTGTTAAAGTATCCAAAAGTAGGTTGCAGACATTATGACACTTTCTCCCAAGTACTTTACTGCAGCATGCATAGTCCAAGAACAAAGGCCTTCTATTACACAACTCCAATCACTGTTACTAGAAATACAATACTAATTCAAGAATATTTTGCATTATATGGTCTATACTCACGGGTTTTTTTTTAAAGATTTTAATTTTATTTATTATTTTAATTTGCTATAAGGCACATGCACTCATCAGAGAGAGAGAGAGAGTGAGAACACAAACCTCCACGTCCAGGACTCGGACTGCAGTTGGAGATGGGAAGGAAGTCCAGTGCCTTAACCATCACACCACCTGCTGACCCCAGTCTACTCAAGTTTTTCCACTGGTTTCTAAACTGTACTTTACATCCTTTTTTTAAAAAAGAATTATTTTTAATTTTAAGTTTATTTATTCCATTTTATTTTTTTAATTTGACCAGAGAAGGACAGAGTGTGTGTGAGAGAGAATGAGAGCGAGAAAGTGAGAAAGCCAATTGCCAGGTCTGGGACTCGAACTGTGGTCGGCCATGTGAGAGTCTAGCACTGTTAAACACCATGCCACCTACCGGCCCCTGTATTTTACATCCTTTTTAAAAAAAGAAACAAGAAAGGAGAGTCAATCACTTTTTTTTTTTTATTTTATTTTATAGAATTATTTATTTATTTATTCATTCATTTCTTTTTATTTGACCAGAGAGAGACAGAGAGAGAGAGAGAGGGAAAAGGAGAAAGCAAGCCACCAGTTCAAGGACTCAAACCATGGTCAGCCATATGGGAGTGTCCAGCACCTTAACCACCATGCCACCTGCTGGTCCCAGTAAATCACTGTTTATGCATTGTTATGTCTTTTTAGGCTCTCTCAACATAATACTATCCTCTGACCTATCTATGTTCTTGTTAACATTGACTCTTTTGAGTCCATTTTTTCTACAGGAGATCTTACATTCTGGATTTGTGGACTGTTTCTTTCTGAATAGATCCTAGTTAAACATTTTTGCAGAAGTGTCACATGGGTTATATTGAGAATATCCCAGTATAATATATAGGAGGTGAAAGTTGCCATGCCATGGTTCGAGTCCCAGACCTGGCGACTTAAAACTCACAACAGGCACGTGTGTGTACATGCTCAAAATCCCGAGAGGATAACGAAGGAGAAGGGATTGCAGCATGGCTGTCCCCCCTGGGGAGTGATTTCTTGCTTTCTCTCTCTCTCTCTCTTTCTCTCTCTGGTGAGCGCATGTTCCCTGTAGCCAAAATTGCTCTTAAATGAAAAAAAGAAAAGTTTTCTTTTTTCTTTTTACATTTTTATTTTACTTCTTTCATGAGAGAGGGAGATATGTACCTTTGATAGGGTCTTGCTATGTGGTCAACCTCCCCTGAACCTCTTAGCCAGCAGGATCACAGGCAAGCACTGGTGCTGGGTTCAGGTCAACCTGTGATCCAAACCTGGATCGCCCATGTGGCTCCAGTATGGTGTAGCACAACTTTGCACCTGTATTACTTCTAACTGATTTTCAATCAAGTTGAAGTCAGTGAAGCAGGTGATTTTGTGACATTTTAAAAACAATGAAGTAATGTATTGAGACTTCTCAGTCCCTTGGCTTAGATAATATCCAAGCAAAATAATTATTTGACCAATTCCAGGCTGCTTTTAATGATATGTTGTTTTGTTTATGTTTTTGTCTTCTCTAGAAAGCACATGCACTTACCAGAACGAGACACAGAAAGAGGGAGAGGGGAACACGTGCCCTCGGTGGGGCATGATCATGCTGCAGTCCCTTCTCTGTTCTTCAGTTTGTCAGAATTTGGGCACACATGCACACAGATCCTGTGTGTTTTTCTAGCTGCCAAAGCCAGGAGTCAACAATACAGTCAGTCATGTGGGATCCAACTGCGTTAACTGTTAGGCCACAGGGCTAGCCCAATGATAGCTCTTATTATGTGATTTAACTTTTGATTTCTGATCTCCAGAAAATAAAACAAATTTACTAAAAATGTAATACTAATCCAGTCTCCTAAAGTCAAGTGAATATGCTCTCATCAAGTAGAGCATGTCGTAATGATGACAGTAATTACCTTTTCATTCTTAGTAGCAGCGCATTCCATGTGTCAACATCAAATTTTTGTAGCTAGTTTATCTTTTCATAGTTTATTCATTTTGTTAGTTTAACAGTTTTCAGTAGTCTTAATACGTTTGAGAATCTCCAAAATAGTAAAATAACTGCTTTGTGAAAAAATTATTCTTACTTTGCTAGAGGGTATGTGTGTGTTCACAGAGAAAGAGAGAGAAAGTGAGAAAGCACACCCCTCCACCACCACCATGGGAGATGTTCATGCCACAGTCCTTTCTCTTCCATTTCTTCTTTGGGGATTTTGAGCACTCATGCCTACATTTCCAGTCTGTTTTTCACACTGCCATATCTGGGGTTCAAACCACACAGTCTACCATGTGAGATCTTGCTGCCTTAACCACCAGGCTACCAACTGGCCCACATTTTAGCTTTTTAACCTGCTTTGGGTCTCCTATGTTTCTGTGTACCATGATGCATAAATACAATCCATAGAAATTAAAAAATTTGCCAGTCATAGATAAATGAATATAGCAAAAACCAACATTACTAAATTCTTCCTCTCTCAAATAATTTTCATGAATTCAGGACAGTGAAAGTAAAACTGTTAATACATAAAGTTAATACTGCAGGGGGTCGGCAGGTGGCATGGTGGTTAAAGGTGCTGGGTTCCCACATGGTTGACGATGGTTTGGATCCTTGACCTGGTGGCTTGCTTTCTCACTTATTTTCTCTCTCTCTCTGTCTGTCTGTCTCTCTCTCCCCCTCTCTGGTCAAACTGAAATAAACAAATAAATAAAGTTTAAAAAATTCTCTAAAAAAATACTGCAATAAATTTATACTACTTGAATTTTCTTCTTTACACTCAGAGAATGGGACATTATAGAAACTGAAGAGCATTACAAGAGCCGATGGAGATCTATTAGAATCCTTTACCTTACAATGTTTATCAGCAGTGTAGGTAAGTATTAGAAATTATACATAAATTTAAGAATTCAGATAAGTGTCGTATTTTAACCTCATTTAATTTATAAAATTCTTTCATTGTGCTAAAGATGCATAACAAAATTTACCATCTTATCATTTGTAAGTTCAATGCTATGAAGTACCAGGGGCTTTTAAAAAGTTTATTGGGAAATTGTGCACATATGCCCAGTGTGTTTTTCTTTTTTTATGATTTATTTTATTTTATTTTATTTATTCTTATTACTTTAATTTAGCCAGAGAGAGGGAAAGTGAGAAAACAAGCTGCCAGGTCCAGGACTCAAACCATGGTTGGCCACATGGGAGTCCAATGCCTTAACCACCATACCACCTGCTGCCAAGCCCAGTGTATTTTCCAAGCCACTAGGTCCAGGACTCAACCTCCTGTTGACTATTGTGAATAGTACTGTTCTGGACGTGGGTGTGAAAATTCCTTTGTAAGATCATGCTTTCAGTTCTTCTGGGTGTACACGCGAGTGAAGTTGCTGGACCATATGATGGTTTTAGTTTTAATTTCTGGAGGAACTGTTATACTGTTTTCTGTAGCAGCTACACCATGTTACATTCCTATTGACAGGCAGGGTTCCAATTTTCCACATCATGTCCAGTACTTATTTTCTGTTGCTCTGATAGTGCCCATCTTAGTGGATATGAGAGGATACCTCAGAATGGTTCTGATTTGCATTTCCTTAATGATTAGTGATGTTGAGCATCTTTTCATGTGTCTATGACCATTTGTGTATCTTTGGAGAAGTATGGGCTTTTTTTAAAAGAATTATTTATTTTAATTTTATTTGTTATTATTATTGTATCTTTATTTGATCAGAGAGAGACCGAGACAGAGGGAGAGAGAGAAGGAAAGTGAGAGAGCAAACTGCCAGGACCAGCACTCGAACCGCACTTGGCCATGTGGCAGTCCAGCGCCTTAACCACCAAGCCATCTGCTGAAGTATAGTGGCCTGAGGTGATCTTTGAAACTGGTTCGCTATTCACTTGACCCAGAGAACTCCACAAAGTCATGCAAGTCAAGAGGTTCAAATCTTTGTGTTCACTTTAAGAACACTCGTGGGACCAGCAGTTAGCGTAATGGCTGTGTCGCTGGACTCCCATGTGGTCGACCGCGGTTCGCGTCCTGGACCTGGTGGCTTAAAACTCATGCTGGGCACATGTGCGTGCGTGCCCAGGATCCCGGGAGGAGAATGGAGGAGAGGGGATTGTGGAGAGGCCATCCCCCCTGGGGGGTGATTTCTCGCTTTCTGTCTGTCTGGCGAGCGCACACACTATAACAAAAACCTCTCCAAAAAAAAATAGAACACTCGTGAAACTGCCCAGGCCATCGAGGGTATGCATATATGAAAAGCCACCAAGTATCTGAAAGATGTCACTTCACAGAAGCAGTGTGTGCCATTCTGTCATTACAATGGTGGAGTTGGTAGATGTGCCCAGGCTAAACAGTGGGCTAGACACAAGGTCAGTGACTCAAAGAGTGATTTTTGCTGCACCTGCTTACACACGTGGAGAGTAATGCTGAACTTAAGGGGTTAGATGTAGACTCTCTGGACATTGAGCAAAACACATTCAGGTGAACAAGGCACCCAAGATGTGCCGTCGTACGTACAGAGCTCATGGGCAGATTAACCCATATATGAGCTCCCCCTGCCACATCGAGATGATCCTCACTGAAAAGGAGCAAATTGTTCCTAAACCGGAAGAGGAAGTCACACAGAAGAAAAAGATATCCCAGAAGAAGAAACAAAAACTTATGGCATGGGAATAAATTCAGCATAAAATAAATGTAGATAAAAGTTAAAGGGAAAAAAAATAATAATAAATAAAATTAAATAATTCTTTGAAAGAAAGAAAAATAGGCCTTATTGGCATAGTGGTTATGGCACTGGACTCCCACATGGCTGACCGCAGTTCAAATTCCAGCCCTGGCAGCTTGAAAATCATTCTAGGCAGCATACGTGTGTGCACCCTAAATCCCAGGATGAGAATGGAGGAGAAGGGATTGAGGTATAGCCATCCCCCGGGCAGTGATTTCTCACTCTCTCTCTCCCTATCTCCCTCTGTCTCCCCATAGAGCACACATGCCCTATGGCAGAAATATTCAAAAAAAAAATAATAGGCCTTATTAAAAAATAGGCCTTATAAAATTTCTATTGGATATGCCTAACATTTAAAATTTACAAATACGATTGGAGTTTATTATTACAGTTCTAGAGCAGTGAAAGCCAGCGGAAATAATCCTGGTTCTAATCCTGGCCACTGTCCCCTTTAGATGACTATTTTCCTTTCCAGTCTTCCCTACATTCAATCAGTCTTTCTCAAATAACATAGGCTAGGAGCCTGGCACTTCCTGTCTTACAAAGTGGCCATTCCTCTGTTCATTTCTGCTATAAACACTCAACAAAGCTTTCAATCATTTCCATTTACAGTAAAAGCACGTGAGTGAGAAGAAATTTGTTCTCTGCTTTTGTGGTATTAATTATGGTCAGGGACTATAACTATATGTTCTTTTCAAACTTTTAATATTTATTTTCCTTTGGATAATGAAAAATCTCTTAGCTTGATATAAAATAGACATTTGTCTGCATAAATTTGTAGGTCTAGAATTCTATTTTTAATATCCATGATGTAGTTTATGAAATTATATCTGTAATTGTGATTAAATTATTATAAAATAAATAACCAAGTTTTCCTCTTCACAGGATTTTCTATTGTGATAATCTCTATATGGCCATATCTCCAAAAGGTTTGTACACTTCAATTCTGTTTTAAAAATATATTTATTTAATTTATTACTATTATTATTATTATTTTAAGTTTGCTATAGGGCACATCTGCTCACCAGAGAGAGAGAGAGAGAGAGAGAGAGAGAGAAAGTGAGAGCGCAAACCACCAGGTCCAAGACTTGAACTAGTCAGCCATGTGCGAGTCCAGCACCTTAACCACACCACCACCTGTGGTGCCCTCAGTTCTTCTAAGTAAGTGTAGTAGTAGTAACTTATATAGTTTAGCACGTTCTAGAGCATCTCTTTGCTAGTCTTTGGTTTAATCTTGAATAACTTGAGAAAATAGTTCCTTGCAAGAGGCTTAGAAGTAAGGTGGTCATATGCTTTACTGTGCAATCAGAACACTCTGATGTGAAAATACGTTTACAGCCAGTCCCAGGCAAATGTAGATACGTGGTCACCAACTTAAAACATTCTGTCACTACCACCCCCCAATAAAAAGGAAACTAAACTAGACATAATCTGAATTCCCAAAATGTACAGTTGTGCCTGTGTAATGATTTTATACTTTTTTATAGAGTTAATTTGGGTTATGAGGGACCTAATGAAAAGGATAATTAATAAATGTTTTGGGTGCTGTGATTACTAGAAGGGGAAGAGTGGGTGACAGGAAGATGTAACCTTGGAAGGTACCTTGACATAAATTGATCATCAAGTCCTGTAAATTCTGTCTTAAGTCTCCGGGAATGAACTTAGTACAATCAGTGTGTAAACTGGCTATGTGATTTGTCTATAATAGTATTTCACTTAAGGTTCTTAAAGACTTGCTCTGTATTTTCTAACCTCCTAGTCACTTCTTAACTTGGTATTATCTGATTAACTCTTCTGCTACTCTGAAATTGCTCCTGTTAAGATCTCCAATGAGTGGGACCAGCAGATGGCGTAGTGGTTATGTTGCTTCCACGTGGCCGACCACAGTTTCAGGTCCTGGACTTGGTAGCTTCAAGGTCATGCCGGGTGCATGTGCGTGCATGCTCAAGATCCCAGGAGGAGAATGGAGAAGAGGGATTGTGGCATATCCATCCCCCCTGGTGGGTGATTTCTCACTTTCCTTCTCACTGTCTCTGTCTCTCTCTCTAGTGCACTCACCCTAAGGCAAAAACAAAACAAAACCTCTAAAAAAAAAAAAAAAAGATCTCCAATGACTTAGTTGCTGATCAATAGATACATTTCAGTGCTTATTTTAGGTCTGGATAGCTTTGACATTGTGTCTTGTCCCCTACTTCCTAAACCAGCTCTTATCTTCCATGACATTTCTCTGTCCTAGCATTCCTTTTAGCTCTAACTACTTAAATTCTTTTGTAAATTCTTTTTTATCATCTTGTTCCTTATGTGGGGGTTTTCGCCAGTGCTAATGTACATGTGTGTGTATTTTAGACTAGATCTTAACTCTTGGCCCATATTATGAAGATATAAAGCCAACAATTTATGAAACATTTACTTGGATGAATGCAGGCTCTTCAGATGTTTATACGTTTTTCTTCTTGTTTGTTTTTCTAGTATGCTTTTCTCTCCTCCATTATTCCTTCTCTCTCCTCGCCTTCCTCGCTCCTTCCTCACTATCTTTTATTATTCTTCAGGGCTTTGCTCTAATGCCACCTCCTCTCAAAAACTATCTGTGAAAGCTTTTCTATTTTTATATCCCTTTGTGTTTACAGAGTTTACTTAACTCTCCTTCTAAAATATTAGGATGGTGAAACAGTTTCAACAAAAATACCAGACATATTTGATAAATATTTAGTGATTAAAAATGATATCTGTGATATATTAAGTATTGACTTTTTTAAAACAATTTTTTTGCCATAGGGTACATATGCTTGCCAGAGAGATAGACAGAGATAGAGACACAGAGAGAGGAAGTGAGAAATAACCTCCTGGGGAGGATGGCTACACCGCAATCCCTTCTCCTCCATTCTCCCCTTGGGATCCTGGGCACGCACGCACACATGCCCAGTGTGAGTTTAAGCCACCGGGTCTGGCACTCAAACCACAGTCAACTACATGGTAGTCCAGCGACATAGCCATTATACCATCCATTGGTCCCTATCTGTTGTGATTCTCAAGCTGCCAGGTTCAGCACTTGGACCACAGAAAAAGTGAGAGAACACCCACCAGAGGCAATGACTACATTGTAATTCCTTCTCCATTCTCCTCTTTTCCAAGCTGCCTGATCTGGGACAGGAACTACACAGTTTGCCAGATGGGATCTAGCCACCTCAACCACCATGCCACCTGGCTGGCCCACACTGACATCATCTTTGAATTTTTATAACTACCTTGTGGAGTGTTTATTGTCCCTCCTGTTAGACAGGTGAAGAATTTGGGCTCAGAGAAGAGAGGTAGCTTGCCCAAGGTCATGCAAGAAAATGGCAGAAGCCTATCTGAAATGAAAACCTGATTCTTAACCACAGTTTTATGTGACCTACTACCTTAAATGTTTTTCATTCTTAATTTAAGGCTACTAGCACTTTATGATAGTATGTTGTCAAATACTACTTAGCTTAAAGACTACCTGTGAAAAAGAAAACCTACCCAAACCCTCTTCTCCACTCCTCTAAAATACCCGCCCCCACACACACACAGTAAATACCCTGTCAAAAAGGAGTTTGGTGCTACTATGAATCTTACTTCCTGGTGCTGATTGACAGATAGGCATCAGTCAAGTGATGTCGTGCTGCCCAGAGGTAGCCGTAATATTCATAAAGACTCACATTGTCAAAACCAAGATTTTGAATGATAGGTTATTCCTAGGGAGTACTGGGAATACTTATGCATGAGGTAAAGTAATAAAACGTGGTAATAAGCTGACACAGTAATTAAAGAAAATAATAGGAAATACTGTTTTTATATAGTTTGTATATACCGACATAGTTCTAAGCACTGTACATGTGTAGGCTCAAATAATATATTTTTTTTGGAGAGGTTTTTGCTATAGGGCACATGCGCTCGCCAGACAGAGAAAGACAGAGAGATAGAAAGCAGGAAATCACCCCCCAGGGGGGATGGCCACGCCGCAATCCCTTCTCCTCCATTCTCCTCTCGGGATCTTGGGCATGTACACACACATGCCCGGCATGAGTTTAAGCCACCGGGTCCGGGACTCGAACTGCAGTTGACTACGTGGGAGTCCAGCTACATAGCCATTACGCTAACTGCTGGTCCCAAATAATTCTTTTTTTAAAAATTATTTAATTTTATTTATTCATTTATTTTAATTTGACCAAAGAAAGAGAGAAAGAGCAAAAGTAAGCCACCAGGCCCAGGACTTGAACCGTGGTCTGCCATGTGGGAGTGTCCAGCGCCTTAACCACCATGCCACTTGCTAATTCTTTTTTTTTTTTTTTTTTTTTGAAGAGGTTTTTGCTATAGGTGCATGCGCTCGCCAGACAGAGAGAGAGAGAGAGACAGAAAGAGAGAAATCACCCCCCAGGTGGGATGGCCACGCCGCAATCCCTTTTCTTCCATTCTCCTCTTGGGACCTTGGGCATGCATGCAAACGCGCCCGGCGTGAGTTTTAAGCCACTGGGTCCAGGACATGAACCACGGTCGACTACGTGGGAGTCCAGCAACATAGCCATTATGCTAATTGCTGGTCTCCCCCTCAAATAATTCTTATAACAACCCTACAAAGTTATCCCCATTTGGCAGATGAAGAATTAAAACATGCTACTTATTTTCCAAGCTAATCAGATTTTTTTTTTTTTTAATTGCTAGGAGGCACACGTGCTCACCAGAGCAGACAGACAGGGAGGCAGAGAGAAGAGAGGAGAAGGAAAGGGAGAAAGCACCTCCCAGTGGGACATAACCACGCTATAATTCCTTCTCCATTTCTCCATCCTGTTGGATTTTCAGCACGCACACACACATGCCCAGCACGTTTTTCAAGCCGCCAGAGTAGGGACTTGAGCCAGCCGTTGGCCATGAGGATGTGGCTCCCTTAACTACCATGCCCACAGGGATGGCCTTACAGGCGAGGATTTTTCAGAACCAGACAAGTAGAACCTGGCTGGGGAAATCCTTGATGGCAGGAACTGTGTTTGCTCATGTTTGTATTCCTATTGCCTAGCACAATTTTTGTTGTTGTTGTTGTTATAGAGAAGGCTTCAGTGCGTCTTAATAGAATGCATAAGTAATCATCTGTAAGTAAATAGTTGAGGAAGCTTGGAACACCACAGTCATATCTAAGTTCCCATAGCAAAGCATTGATGCTTCTAGAATTCTGACTTTGTCAATATTGTTATGTTTGGAAATTCAGTATCAAGCACTTTGGGGTTTTATTTTTGTTTCTATTTTAATTTTTATTTATTTATTTTTAATAAGAGAAAGGGGGAGGGTTAAAAAAAGGTGGACTTAGTTTTGACAGGGTCTCACTGCTTCATGATTCTGTTACCCCAGCCTCTCAGCTAGCTATGATAACAGTTATGAGCCACCATACCCAGCCTCTTTAGGTTGATCTGAACTGTATTTATAAGAATTAAAAAGCAGTTCATATTAGTTATGACAATATTACTATATATACTATATACAGTGTATGACTTTTTTTAGTAAGACTGAACAGGAGCTTAAATATAATTGTTTTTTTGAAGAGGTTTTTGCTATAGGTGCATGCGCTCGCCAGACAGAGAGAGAGAGAGAGACAGAAAGAGAGAAATCACCCCCCAGGTGGGATGGCCACGCCGCAATCCCTTTTCTTCCATTCTCCTCTTGGGACCTTGGGCATGCATGCAAACGCGCCCGGCGTGAGTTTTAAGCCACTGGGTCCAGGACATGAACCACGGTCGACTACGTGGGAGTCCAGCAACATAGCCATTATGCTAATTGCTGGTCTCCCCCTCAAATAATTCTTATAACAACCCTACAAAGTTATCCCCATTTGGCAGATGAAGAATTAAAACATGCTACTTATTTTCCAAGCTAATCAGATTTTTTTTTTTTTTAATTGCTAGGAGGCACACGTGCTCACCAGAGCAGACAGACAGGGAGGCAGAGAGAAGAGAGGAGAAGGAAAGGGAGAAAGCACCTCCCAGTGGGACATAACCACGCTATAATTCCTTCTCCATTTCTCCATCCTGTTGGATTTTCAGCACGCACACACACATGCCCAGCACGTTTTTCAAGCCGCCAGAGTAGGGACTTGAGCCAGCCGTTGGCCATGAGGATGTGGCTCCCTTAACTACCATGCCCACAGGGATGGCCTTACAGGCGAGGATTTTTCAGAACCAGACAAGTAGAACCTGGCTGGGGAAATCCTTGATGGCAGGAACTGTGTTTGCTCATGTTTGTATTCCTATTGCCTAGCACAATTTTTGTTGTTGTTGTTGTTATAGAGAAGGCTTCAGTGCGTCTTAATAGAATGCATAAGTAATCATCTGTAAGTAAATAGTTGAGGAAGCTTGGAACACCACAGTCATATCTAAGTTCCCATAGCAAAGCATTGATGCTTCTAGAATTCTGACTTTGTCAATATTGTTATGTTTGGAAATTCAGTATCAAGCACTTTGGGGTTTTATTTTTGTTTCTATTTTAATTTTTATTTATTTATTTTTAATAAGAGAAAGGGGGAGGGTTAAAAAAAGGTGGACTTAGTTTTGACAGGGTCTCACTGCTTCATGATTCTGTTACCCCAGCCTCTCAGCTAGCTATGATAACAGTTATGAGCCACCATACCCAGCCTCTTTAGGTTGATCTGAACTGTATTTATAAGAATTAAAAAGCAGTTCATATTAGTTATGACAATATTACTATATATACTATATACAGTGTATGACTTTTTTTAGTAAGTTTTTTTTTTATACTTTTTTTTTTTTTGGAGAAATTTTTGCTATAGGGTGTGTGTGCTCACCAGAAAGACAGAGAGAGACAGAAAGCAAGAAATCACCCCCTGCAATTCCTTCTCCTCCATTCTCCTCTCAGGATCTTGGGCATGCACACACACACACCCCCGACATGAGTTTAAGCCACTGGGTCCGGGACTCGAACTGTGGTTGACTACATGGGAGTCCAGCGACATAGCCATTACACCAACTGCTGGTCCCTTCAGTAAGATCTTTTATGAACCCAAAATTTGTATAATCATTCTAAAAGATGAAGCTTCTCAAGAATTTTTTCTTGCATACAGTGAATTGTTAATACATTTCATTTATTATCAGAAGTTTGAATCCTTTCCTGTAAGTAATATTGTTATAAAAACCTATGTGTTAGGGTTGTTATTTTTTTCTTTATAGAACATTGTACATGGTCAGACAGATGGATTTAGATTTTAAACTTTCCTTGGCTAACACTTCTTAAAACACTGTTTTGTTTTGTTTTTCCTGCAGATTGACCAGACAGCTGATGCAAGTTTTTTGGGCTGGGTTATCGCTTCATATAGTCTTGGCCAAATGGTAGCTTCACTTCTGTTTGGTTTATGGTCTAATTATAGACCAAGAAAAGAACCTCTTATTGTCTCCATCTTCATTTCGGTGGTAGCCAACTGCCTCTATGCATATGTCCACCTCCCGGCCTCTCATAATAAGTACTACATGCTGATCGCGCGTGCCTTGGTGGGCTTTGGAGCAGGTAAGATGTTTGTGCGTGTGCGTTGGGCTGAGTCACATGCCCAGTCAGCCTGACGTTTACGGCCCTCTCTCACCTGGCTTCACTGCCTCTTGATCTCATCTCCCACATGTCCACGTACACATTTCTCATTGCGGCAGCCTAATCTTTTCTGCCATTTTGCCTTTGCTCATAATGTTCCCACTACCTATGGTTTCTGTCAGCTGTGTCCATCATTCTCTGTCCTTCAACGCTGAGTTCAAGTTCCGCATCTTTCAGAAACCTTCTTAGGCTACACTGCCCCTTAACAGATCTCTTTTCTGACATGTTTCTGGCACTTACTTATAGTCTTGCACTGTTTTCATCCTCTCCTACAAACCAGGTGGTAATTTTTTTGAAAGAATTATTTTTTTTATTATTACTTTTTAAAATTTATTTTTATAATAGTTTTTTTTAATATTCGGCAACCCTAGCAGCATCTCTTGAACAGTTATTCTGTTCAAATGCTCAATAAAATTTTTGAATTAAAGTGTTAGTTGGCAGTTTTTCTTTTTTTTTTCCTCTTATAGGACTGTACATACAGAATTTGTGAAACCTTTTGTTTGTTTGTTTGAGAGAGAAATTTTTGCTATAGGGCATGCATACTCTCCAGAGAGAGAGACATAAAGCAAGAAATCACTCCCCAGTGGTATGGCCACTCCACGGTACCTTCTCCTCCATTCTTCTTGTGGGATTTTGCACACACATGCATATGTACCTGACATGAGTTTTAAGCCTCCAGATCCAGGACTCCGTGGTTGGCCATGTGGGAATCCAGTGATGTAATCATTATGCCATTTGCTGGTCCTATGAAACCTTTCTTTTAAAAATAGTTGCAGCTGGGACGAGCAGATGGCATAACACTTATACACTTATGTCACTAGACTCCCTAGTCAACCACCATTCAAGTTCTGGACCTGGCAGCTTGAAAATCACTCTGGGTGCATGTGCATGTGTGCCTAAAGTCCCGAGAGGAGAATGGATTGCTGTGTGGCCATCCCCCCGGGGGGAATTTCTCACTTTCTGCCTCTCTCTCTCTCTCCAGTAAGCACACATGCCCTACAACAAAAGTCTGTCTTAGAAAAAAAAAGTTGTAGCAATCAGTAGTGTTCCATTTTCTTATTGGTTTCTTGGTATTTAATAATAAGAAAGTTTGATATTCTTATAGTATAATTTTTCATTCATTTAAGTATGTAATTGTTTTTATATTACTTCAAATACCATGTTTAATTGATGCATTTGCTTAATTAAAATATGTTACATGTTTTGTATGGTCATAAATAAGAAGCAGCAACCTTATGAGAAGACTTTAAAGAGTTCATGGAAAAATGGAATTAAAGTACAAGTTAATGTGGTACAAAGATTTTTAAATCCATGCATTGTTTTTTCATAATATATCTTTTCCATCTACTATTTGAAGAATCCCTCATACTGTTGACCACTATTTCTTCTTCTGCATAAAGCCAAATTAAGTTGGATTTTATAACATGAAGAATATTTTCTTTTCCTTTGGATTATTGTCTTTTTTAGGAAATGTAGCAGTTGTCAGATCATATGTTGCTGGTGCTACTTCCCTTCAGGAGAGAACCAGTTCCATGGCAAATATAAGTGCATGTCAAGCATTAGGTTTTATTCTAGGTCCAGGTAGGTGTTCTTCACTTGTCATTACTTGAATTTGAATTGGGAAAACTTTTCAGGTTGAATGTTAAATGAAATTGAAGTATTAAAACCCCCCAGTGGGCCTAGCAGGTGGTGTGGTGTTAAGGATGCTTGACTCCCACATGGCTGACTACAGTTTAAGTCCCAGACCTGTGGCTTGCTTTCTCACTCTCTCTCTCTCTCTCACTCTGTCCCTCTCTGGTCAAATTAAAATATATAAATAAAATAATTAAAAAAAAAAAAAGACCTGCTAGCTGGGGGTTGGCAGGGGGGGTGGGGGTTAAAAGGAAGTCCTGGACCTGGTGGCTTCCCTTCTCTCTCTCTCTCCCCGCCCCCACCTCCATCCTTCTCTGGTCAAATTAAAATAAATAAAATAATTCTTTAAAAAACCCTCCTACCTGAAGGGGAAGGGAGAGAAACTAATTTTTTTTTTTTAAGAGAGATTATATGTGCTCACTGGAGACAGAGACAGACAGAGAGAAAGCAAGCAAGAAATCACCCCCTACCCAGGATGGATGGCCACGCCACAGTCCCGTCTCCTCCATTCTCCTCTAGGGGTCTTGGTCACACATGCAACATGTGTCCAGCATGAGTTTATGTCACCAGGTCCAGGACTCGAACCATAGTCAACTTTGTGGGAGTTCAGCGATGTGACTATTATGCTATCTGTTGGTCCCAAAGTTAACATTCTTCAATCTAGCAGTGAGGTTAGGCTTCTTTGAACCTGACACTAACCCTCTGCATTAAGTGCTTTAGTCCATTTTCACAGATGAGGAATAAATTGTCCTAAGTCACTCAGACAGTAATGGGAAATCTGAGGTTGAAACCTGTGTCTGACTCTGTCAAACAATCATTTAGCTTGACATTTCTGCAAAAATTAAATTTTTTCTGTTTATTAAAAATAAAATTTTTACAAAACAAAAAGAAAAAACCAAAATTATTTCTACTGAAGGATTTGACAAAAACTATAAACAGTTCTTTACTCTTTAATCCTTTGCCCATTCCTTGAACACTTTACTGAGGTCAAAGAAAATGAGAGTTTTTATGGGGCCGTGGTAGTGAAGGTGGCTTGATCCATGTGACTGACTACAGTTTGACTCCTGGTCGTGTTTGCTCGAAAAACTTGCCAGGCACATGTGTGCATGCACGCCCAAAAATCCCATGAGGAAAATGTAGAAAAGGGTTTGTGACATGACCATCCCCACTGGGAGTGCTTTCTAAGTCTTACTGTCTTCTTCTGAAACTTTCATCCTTTTAAAAGTATTTTAAAAATGAGATTTAATACTTCCTTAATGAAAATTAATTTTCTCCTAAGTGAATAATGAAAAATTAGTCTTTTTTTTTTTGCCTAGAATAACAATGAAAAAAGCATGTATTGATTGACATTTTAAATATTGCAGTTATGAATACTATCAGCTTCAAACCAACCCAGTACCACCATCAGTTTCCATAACTTTCTTCTATTGTCCAAAAAAAAAAAAAAAAGGGCTCACCAGAAGAAACTCTTAATGCATCATTCAACAAAATCTAGTATTTCAGTTTAGTATTCTGGAACAAACATAAGAGTTAAATCTTGGACCAGCTGGTGGTGGGACCAACTTGGTGGCATGGTGGTTAATGTAGCTGGATCCCACATGGCTGACCCTGCAGTTCACATCCTGGACCCAGCAGCCTGAGAAACCCTCCGGGTGTGTGTATATCCTCCCGACAAGAGAAATGAGAAGAAAGGATTGCAGCATGGCCATCTCCCATGGGGGATTCTTTCTTATTTTCTCTTTTTCTCTCCTTTTCTCTTTCTCTCTGGCAAGTGGACATACTTTCTAGCAAATTGAAGAAATAAAAAGAGAAGAAAAGAAGAATGGAATTTTAAAAAACATTTAATTATTTCATTTATTTATTGTTTGTTTATTTATTTAAATTTAACCAGAGAGGAACAGAATGAGAGAGAGAGAGAGAAAGTGAGAAAGCAAGCCACCAGTTTCAGGACTCGAACCACAGTCGGCCATGTGGGAGTCCAGTGCCCTTACCCACCACACCACCTACCAGCCCCGAACAATTGAATCTTATCACCATACTGTAAAATACATGAAGATATGGTCTGGGTCTTTTTTATTAATATTTACCACCCTCTGTATCTGGCATTCAGTACCTGCTGTAGAGTTCTCGTTAAATATTATTGACCACCTTAAAAGCATTAAAAAAAAATTGCCAGAGGGCATGTACATTTGCTGGTGAGGAAAAAGAGAGAAGGGAGAGAGAGCAAAAGTGCATCCCCCCATGGAGCACGGTCATGGCCGCAATCCTCTCTCTCTCCCTCTCCTTTGGGATTTGGGTATGCACGTATGCATGTACATGCACGCTGTGTGTACCTCAAGCGGCTGGGTGCTGGACTCAAACTGTGCTGTCAGCTGTGTGGGATTCAGCTGCTTAATCCACCAGGCCATGGGCTGGCCCAAGCTTTTTTTTTTTGAGAGAAATGTCTGTTATAGAGAGAAATCTCCCCCCCGCCGGAGGTGGGGGGGCATGACCACACTGCAATCCCTCCTCCTCTCAGGATTTTGGGCACACTCGCACATGTACCTGCCTTGAGTTTCAAGCCACTGGGTCCAGGACTCAAACCATGGTCGACCATGTGGGAGTCAGTGCCCTAACCACCATGCAACCTACTTGCCCCCAGCCCAAGCTTTTTATTACTTTTCTTTTTTAGTTTTGTTATAAGGCATGTACCCTCTTCAAAGAGAGATTGGAAGAAAGGGAAAGTGAGAAATCCTTCTCCAGAGGGGATGGCGACGCCGTAATCCCTTCTCTTCCATTCTCCTCCCAGGATTTTGGGCACACTCGTACATGCACACCTGATCTGAGACTCAAACCATGCCGTCAGCCATATGGGATCCAGCTACCTTAACCTCCATGTCACCAGCTGGCCTGCATTTTATTTTTCTGTATTTTAAGGCTTACTTATACCCTGAAAGAGAAAGAACTGGGGAAAGGGAAGGAGACAGACATTTCTGACAGGGTCCTCAGACCTTACTCCTTATCTCAGCCCTGTAGTCAGCCAGGATAACAACTGATCCTCTGGAATGCAAACCTGGATCTTCCCATATGGCCACCAGCACCACATAGCGGTGCCTGCCCCACCTGTGCCCCTGAGGCTAGACCGAAAGCATTTTAAAGAATTCCTCATTTGGGCCATCAGGTAGCATAGTAAGTATCTTTAATAGGTTTTTAGACTCTGCTGCTCATCTAATTTATCCGTGGTACATTTTATTTTAATAAGTTTTTCAGACTTGCTTTGTGCTCATTGGAGAAAAGGGCGTGACATGGGATCTGATTAAGCTGCAGATAAACATGTATACCGCACCTGTTCTACTTGGCGCCCTCCTGGGAGTTTTAAATATTATTCTGATCTTTACTATATTAAGGTAATTAAACAGAAATTATAAAACTATTTTTGCAGATGGTGACATTTAATAACTTTTGTCATTGTTACAGGATAATTATCTTTCTGAAGTTTCTTTTTGGTTTTTGAAGTCTATAGTTGTGCTCATTTATTTGATCATCTAAAGCATGTACTACTGACCACTGAAATAATAGACAGCCTGATAAATGAGAACAGATCATGAGGAAGATTAGGATTTGGTCTTGATTCACTAACTGTATGTTTCTATGAAAGCAACCATTTTTAAAGAGATTTTTAACTATAGGGTATGTGCACTCACCAGAGACACAGAGACAGAGAGAGAGAGAGAAAGAGAGAAATAACCCTTCATGGGCGTGGCCACACCACAGTCCCTTCTCCTTTCTCCTCTAGAGATTTTGGGCATGCATGTATACCTGGTGTGAATTTCAAGCCACTGGGTCGGGGACGTCCAGCACTGTAACTACTATGCCACTGCTGGCCCCAAAAGCAACATTTTAAGTAGACTAATGATTTAGTATCAATCCTAAATATAAGTTATTTGTATATATTGTATCTTATCTTCTGTAGTTTATAATACATTGTATTTCTTTAGAGTGATTTATCTAGTATTCTGAAAATACGTATAACTAATATTTTAAAATCACTGAAGAGCTTCAAATACTAAGATTTGTGCATGATTTTTGATGAATTGCCTTATTTTTTTCATTTTATGTAAGAGTTGTATTGTCTGTCTTTTTAAGTTTATTATTTATATCTCTCATTAGCAATAACTGCATTACTTGGAAGCCTGTAAAATGAACTATTTCAGAATGTAAAATCAAAGAATGCTAGTAATTAATTTCAGCCATTTGTCTACTATACACAGTATTTCATAGAGACAATATTTCTGTTTTTCTTTCTAAGAGAACATCGTGTGGATGACTCAGGACGACAGTGTAAAAATATTAATTTTGAAGAAGGTACTATTAACCTATTTTACTAAATTACTATAACATTATCAAAGTCTTCCCAATGATTCTGTCTGGTATTTACTTGGATTTTGCTTCTGAAGACAGTACAGTGGGTGATCAGGGAAGATCTTCAGGATGCCCAGTTAAATTCACATAACATTTAGTGTAAGTATGTCACACCCACTTAAATTTGGATTTCAGATAAGCAGCAAATAATTTTTTTTAGTATAAATATGATCCAAATATTCTATGGTACATTCATATACTTAGATTTTAAATATTACATAGAACATACACAGAGGCTCCAGCTGAGTTCCACCTGGAACCTGAGGCGGCCAAATAAAAAAAAAAAAGAACATACTTATACTAACAGCTATAAATTGTTTACCTCAAATTTAAACTGGGTATCCCTTAAAAATTTTGATTTTTATTGACTAAGTCTGGCATTCTAGTGAGATGATGAGAATCTCCGTTTATTACAAGCTCCCATGTGAGTTGGTGCAGCTGTTCACTGCCGTAGCCAGTAGCCGGATGTGGCTATTTAAATGGGAGTTTTATTTAAGAAACTGTTTCCAGTCACAGGGCCACATTTCCACTTATCATTTCTGGTATAAGATAATAGAATGGATGCATTATCTCCTGGGCAGAAAATTCACTTTATTTTAAAATGCTATTTAAAAAGGATTTGTTATATAAATTCTGTTACTTTTAGAAGTAATTCTGTTACAACTTTGAAGCCTAAAAATGATTTTAAGTGTTTATTCATAGGATTTGCTACATACGGTTTCTATAATATTTTCATCTTGTAAGAAAAATTAGATGTATAGGTAATATGCATTTTCTCTGATTTATCTGTAGCAACTACAGAAGTTCAGCTTCCCCAAGGGAATATTGATCAAGTTGCTGTGGTAGCCACCAATATTCTGTTTTTTGTGGTTCTATTTATCTTTGCCCTTTTTGAAACGTAAGTTTTACTCTGTCTTTATTTAAATCAGATTGTGCTTTGACCAGTATTTCTTAATGCTGTGTTAACTGTGCATGTCGTATAGATGTTATCAAAAACTTTATGTAGGTATTTTTTTAAAAGGGTTTTATCTCTGTCCATATTTTTGTTTTTTAATTTGCTATGGGGTACGTGCACCTGCAACCCCTTCTCCTCCATTCTCCTCTCAGGATTTGGGGCACACACCCACATGCACCTGATGTGATTTTTCTTCAATCTGTTGGGTCTGAGACTCAAACCAGGCATTCGACCTTGTGGGATCCAGTGCTTTAACCATCCTGCCCCCTACTGGCCCTGTCTATATCTTACTGTCTTAGCTTCCTTATGAGGGAATCTGTTTCACTAGTCTTTCCCTTTTTCATCTGAGTTTTGTAATACAGTTATAAAACTTTAATTAGTGTTATGATTTAATCACCCCTGAATTGTATGTATACCTCCCTGCTAATGTATACAAGGTGCAGTCATTTGTTTTTGTTTTTTATTTTTTTTGAGAGTTTTTTTCACTATAGGGCGCGTGCTCTCGTAGGACAGACAGAGAGAGAGACAGAGAGACAGAAAGTGAGAAATCACTCCCCAGGGGGGATGGTCACGCCGTAATCCCTTCTCCTCCATTCTCCTCTCAGGATCTTGGGCATGCACGCACACACGCCCGGCGTGAGTTCTAAGCCACCAGGTCCAGGACGTGAACCATGGTCAACTACGTGGGAATCCAGCGACATAGCCATTACGCTAACTGCTGGTTCCCCAGTCATTTGTTTTTGAGAGATTTTTGCTGTAGGGTGTGTGCACTCACTGGAGAGACAAAAAGACATAAAGTGAGAAATCACCCCCAGGCGGGATAGCCACGCCATAATCCCTTCTCCTCCATTCTCCTCTCAGGATCCTGGGCACATATACATATGCACCCAGCATGAGTTTTCTTTACTTTCCTTTTCTTTTTAAAGAATTATTATTTTATTAAACTTTATCTAGATCAGAGAAGGACAGAGCAAGAGAGAAAGGGAAAGTGAGAAAGCAAGCCGCCTGGTCCAGGACTAGAACTGCAGTTGACCATGTGGGATTCCAGTGCCCCCAACCACCATGCCACCTGCTGGCTCCCCAGCATGAGTTTTAAGTTGCAGGGTCCAGGACTCAAACCATGGTCAAATATGTAGGAGTCCAATGATGTAACCATTACACTGTTTGCTGTTCCCTAGTCTGGTATTTTTGACTATTTAATCTCTGTCCCTGGAAATAACCTAATACATTACAAAATATCTGCCTTGTTTAGAATTCATTGACTCTTATGTATCATATGGATCCCTTATTTTTTAAATTCTTTTCCATTAAATTATAAAAATAGTACATTCTTGTAAAAATTCCAAACACTGAATGTAAACAAATTTAAATTAAAAAAAAAAATCCAAACACTGCAACTATTTTTCCTCAACCACTCGTTTCCAAGAAGGTAACCCCTGCTAATACTTCAAGTAGTTTCTATTTTAACTATTTTATTTTTTTCTTTTACATTTTTAAAATTTCATTTTCTTTTATACATTCAGTCACATTACTTAGCTAACAAAGTGAATATTTTTCAACAAGTAGTTTCTATTTTTTAAACATTGTTTTCTATTCAGCTGTAAGAATATGTATATGTGTGTGTTCAACTCAAATTGACTGTGTGATATTATCACTCAACAACTTGGTTTATTCATTTATCAACACATTAGGATGTTTTTATGTCAGAACATTTAGATTTTCTTTTTTTTTTTTAAGAAATTTTTGCCTTAGGGTATGTGCGCTTCCCAGAGAGAGAGAGACAGAAATGGTGAGAGGGAGTGAGAAATCATCTTCCCTTCCCCTGGTGGATGGCCAAGCCACAATCCCTTCTCCATTCTCCTCCTGGGATATTGGGCACTCATACACACACGCCCAGCATGATCTTCAAGCCACTGGGTCCAGGACTTCCACGTTCAACCTGGTGGAAGTTCAGTGACATAACTGCTATGCTATCTGATGGCCCCATGTACATTTTCTTGATGTTTTTATTTTCAAAGTTACTGAGACATATGACAGTTTTAATTCATTTAATTTTTTTGGTGGTATTTTTTTATTGTGGTAAAATATTTTAACATAGAATTGACCATTTTCACAAAAATATTTATTTAATTTTGTTATATTTTTTTATTGTGGTAAAATATAGTAACATAGAAATGACTATTTTCACAAAAATATTTATTTAATTTTGTTATATTTTTTCTTAATTTGTCAAGAGAAGGAGAGAGAAAGTCTTTTCCATTAAATTATAAAAATAGTACATTCTTGTAAAAATTCCAAACACTGAATGTAAACAAATTTAAATTAAAAAAAAAAATCCAAACACTGCAACTATTTTTCCTCAACCACTCGTTTCCAAGAAGGTAACCCCTGCTAATACTTCAAGTAGTTTCTATTTTAACTATTTTATTTTTTTCTTTTACATTTTTAAAATTTCATTTTCTTTTATACATTCAGTCACATTACTTAGCTAACAAAGTGAATATTTTTCAACAAGTAGTTTCTATTTTTTAAACATTGTTTTCTATTCAGCTGTAAGAATATGTATATGTGTGTGTTCAACTCAAATTGACTGTGTGATATTATCACTCAACAACTTGGTTTATTCATTTATCAACACATTAGGATGTTTTTATGTCAGAACATTTAGATTTTCTTTTTTTTTTTTAAGAAATTTTTGCCTTAGGGTATGTGCGCTTCCCAGAGAGAGAGAGACAGAAATGGTGAGAGGGAGTGAGAAATCATCTTCCCTTCCCCTGGTGGATGGCCAAGCCACAATCCCTTCTCCATTCTCCTCCTGGGATATTGGGCACTCATACACACACGCCCAGCATGATCTTCAAGCCACTGGGTCCAGGACTTCCACGTTCAACCTGGTGGAAGTTCAGTGACATAACTGCTATGCTATCTGATGGCCCCATGTACATTTTCTTGATGTTTTTATTTTCAAAGTTACTGAGACATATGACAGTTTTAATTCATTTAATTTTTTTGGTGGTATTTTTTTATTGTGGTAAAATATAGTAACAGAATTGACCATTTTCACAAAAATATTTATTTAATTTTGTTATATTTTTTCTTAATTTGTCAAGAGAAGGAGAGAGAAAGCAAGAAAGTGAGAGAGCAAGCCACCAGATCTGAGACGCAAATTGTGCTTCGCCATGTGAGAGTCCAGCACCTTAACCACCACGCCACCTGTCAGTCCCCATTTTCACAATTTTTAAAGTGTTCAAGTCAGTGGCAGTAACTACAGTCCCAGTGTAATATAGCCATGAACACTGTCCTTTTCCAGAACCCTTTTAGTGTCTCAAACAGAATCCTCATTCATCAAATAACACTCTAGCCCCTCGACCCAACCCGTGGTAATTCATGTTCTACCTTCTGTCTATGCCTGTCATAGGTGACTCATGTAAGTTGAATCATAAAATATTTTCCTGTCGTGTCAGCCTTATTTCATTTAGCATGATTTCAAAGTTCATTATGTTGTAACATGTATCATATTTCATAACATTTGGTTTGTCCATTTACCTATTGATAGACACTTTTTAAAAATCTTTTCACTATTGTAAATAATGCTGTTATGAACATTCATATAGTAGTATCTGACTCTCTCCTTTCAGTTCTTTTGAGTATATTTCTAGAAGTGGGGTCTCTGGATCAGATGGCAAGTCTATGTTTAACGTCTACACTAGTTCATCTAATTTAAAAGTTTAAGTGGTGGTGGTGGTCTTTTAAAAAAATGTTTTGAATATAAATTCTATATCATCGTTAACAGAAGGATGTAGAATGTAAGAAATGAAGCTTGACAGGGAAGGAGTCATATAAAGGAAGAGAAACATTCAGAGGTGGGGAAAATTTATACAAAGGTGGGGATAGAATAGTTGGAGGAAAAGAAGAAAATCCAATAGGTTCTGATAACGTAACAATAGTAACAGTACTACCAATTTGAAAACAGATCAATTTAAACCAAAATATAGCCATGATTATTTTATTTGTTAAGTTGGAATGATGGGAATTGTGTTGGTTGATTTCTTTTTCTATTTTTCAGACTTTTGGCACTGTGGCTATATTACTTATATAATTGAAATAAATATTAAAAAATAAAAAGATGAGGGCCAGGTGGCATGGTGGTTAAGTCACTGGACTCCCACATGGCTGATCACAATCATAAAATATTTTCCTGTCGTGTCAGCCTTATTTCATTTAGCATGATTTCAAAGTTCATTATGTTGTAACATGTATCATATTTCATAACATTTGGTTTGTCCATTTACCTATTGATAGACACTTTTTAAAAATCTTTTCACTATTGTAAATAATGCTGTTATGAACATTCATATAGTAGTATCTGACTCTCTCCTTTCAGTTCTTTTGAGTATATTTCTAGAAGTGGGGTCTCTGGATCAGATGGCAAGTCTATGTTTAACGTCTACACTAGTTCATCTAATTTAAAAGTTTAAGTGGTGGTGGTGGTCTTTTAAAAAAATGTTTTGAATATAAATTCTATATCATCGTTAACAGAAGGATGTAGAATGTAAGAAATGAAGCTTGACAGGGAAGGAGTCATATAAAGGAAGAGAAACATTCAGAGGTGGGGAAAATTTATACAAAGGTGGGGATAGAATAGTTGGAGGAAAAGAAGAAAATCCAATAGGTTCTGATAACGTAACAATAGTAACAGTACTACCAATTTGAAAACAGATCAATTTAAACCAAAATATAGCCATGATTATTTTATTTGTTAAGTTGGAATGATGGGAATTGTGTTGGTTGATTTCTTTTTCTATTTTTCAGACTTTTGGCACTGTGGCTATATTACTTATATAATTGAAATAAATATTAAAAAATAAAAAGATGAGGGCCAGGTGGCATGGTGGTTAAGTCACTGGACTCCCACATGGCTGATCACAGTTTGAGCCCTGGACCTGGCAGCTTGGTTTTTCACACACACCCCTCCTCCCTTCACCTCTCCGTTTCTCTCTAGTGTACGCATGTGTCTATAACAAATTATAAATAAATAAATAAATTACAAAAATAAGAAGATGAATAAGCAAACTTAGTAGCTGTATTTGTCAACAAACAAAATATCTAAAAATGTATTCAGATTTTTGCTAGTGCAGGTCTGGTGTCATTGTTCAAAGGGATGTAAAGTCTTAAATGTGTAGGTATCACTATTAAAGCTTACAATTTATTTTAAGTGATGATCACTATGACTTAAATAAAATAAGAGTAATTCCTCTTTTATTTTTCTTAGTATCATTACTCCATTAACAATGGATATGTATGGCTGGACTCAGGAACAAGCTGTGCTGTATAATGGAGTAATACTTGCTTCTCTTGGAGTTGAGGCAATTGCTGTTTTCATGGGGGTTAAATTTCTTTCAAAAAAGTAAGTTATGTGGTTTTTTTTTTTAAGTCTAATCTTAAAGTGAAAGAGTTAATAACACAAAAGAATGTACTAGGAAAATAATGTAGAACTTTTCTCTCATGTATTTTTAAAAATAATTTCTTTTCCTTTTCTTTCTCTCTCTCATTCTCACTCTTTCTCTCCCCTTCCTTCCTTCCTTCCTTCCTTCCTTCCTTCCTTCCTTCCTTCCTTTTCTTTCTCCGAGAGGGACAGAGAGAGAGAGAGAGAGAGAGAAAGTGAGAAAACAAGCCATCAGGTCTGGGATTCGAACTGTGGTCCACCATGTGGGAGTCTAGTGCCCTTAGCCCCATTCTCCCATTATATGTTAATTATAGTCCTTGTAAGTTTGCAGACAGATTTAAAATTAAAAAGTATATTCCTAGGGCTGGTTCCATAGCCTAGTAGTCAAAGGAACCAGATCCCACATGTCCAACCATGGTTTAGAGTCCTGGTTCTGGTAGCTTGAAAACATGCTGGACATGTGCGTGCTCCCGATCCTGAAAGGATGGCGAAATGAGAAGTGATTGCAGCGTGACCATATCCCATTAGGGGGTCCTTTCTCTGTTTCTCTCTCTGGCAAGTGTACGAGCACTCTGGAAATTAAAAAAAAAGAAGAAAAGTATATTCTGTAGCCTATGGCATTTCTTTGATAAAGAAAATATCTTACAAAATTGCCCCCTAATGTATCTTTTGCATATTATGTTTCAAAATGTATAGTATTCAAAATGTATATTTCATAAAAATTCTCCTGCTATGTCATAATATATGTTACATAACAAAAAAGATTCACTGGTTAAGTTTGGAAAATTCTGCTTAAGGTTACCAAACTCGGGACCAGCAGATGGCATAATGGTTATGTCACTGAACTCCCATGTAGTCAACTGCAGTTTGAGTCCTGGACCCAGCGCCTTAAAACTCATGCCAGACGTGTGTGCATGTGTGCCCAAAATCCTGAGAGGAGAATGGAGAAGGGACTGCAGCATGGCCATCCCTCCTAGGGGGTGATTTCTTGCTTTCTGTCCCTCTGTCTTTGTCATGCTGGCAAGCACATGTGCCCTATAGCAAAAATCTCTCTTAAAAAAAGATTACCAAACTTATACTATTACTCCTAAGTTATACACATACACACACTATGTCATCATCATGTTGAACACAATGTGTAGCATTTCTCAAAGTTATTCGACCACCGAAAGCATTTTTTACATAATTTTGTAAATGTACAAATGTACTTTGGGAGAAATAATTTGTATAAAATTTAGTCATATCATGTAAGATGGGACATTAATTGATGAATTTAGATAGTTCTGATGATTAATTATTCTTTTTTAAAGTAATTACTTTATTTAATTTTATTTATTTATTTTAATTTGACCAGAGCAGGAGAGAAATGGTAAATTGTAGGTCAGTTGGAAAGATCTGAACCCTGTGGTATTCTGAGGGTGATGGGAAACCTTGTTTTTTTGGAAGTTTTTGCATTAGGGCGTATGCACTCACTGGAGAGAGAGCGGGACAGAGACAGTGAGAGGGAACGGGAGATTCACAGGGAGGGGGAAATGGCCACACCGCAAGCAATCTCTTCGCTGGCCATGTTGTAATCCCATCTCTTCCATTCCCTCCCGGGATCTTGGGTACACGCTCACATGCGCCCGGCATGAGTTTCAAGCTACCGGGTCCAGGACTTGAACTGAGGTCAGCCATGTGGGAGTCCAGCTATGTAACTGCTATGCCATCTGCTGGCCCCATCTTGGGTTTTTTGGTTTATTTGTTTAGTATTTTATGTTTGTTTTGTTTTCCTTTCGCTAGCTTTTGGTTTTGTGTTTTATTCTTTTTATACAGTATTTGCAGCATATACAGAGTTCTTGAGAGCATCATGTACTGAATCTCTCCTGTCCCGTTCTCAGCTCTGCCAGTTAGTTACAGACACTCAGACAATCTTGTTTCTCTCTGCCTGACCTCCTGCACTTTTTCTCTTGCACCTGGATTATTTTGAAGCTGATCCCAGACATTTCATGTCTTCCATGAATATTCCAGTATGTCTTTCCAAAAGTCAATGATGACAATGTTATCACATTTTAAAAAATTAACAATGATTTCATAGTATCATCACATATTCAGATAGTATTCAGATTTTTGCCACTGTCTTGTGTTTTTATTGTTTTGTTTGTTCTGTTTCATGTTTTGTTTGTTAGTTTGTTCACCTGATTAAGGCTCTCGTTTCTTGTCTCTTTTCATCAATACATTTCTTTATTTCTTTTCCATCTCTGTCACTTTTTTTCCCCTTAAAATTTGAAGAAACTGGTTTCCCACATGTTGGCCCTTGCTGATTACATTATCATGGTGTTTCAAAAACATTTTTTTGTCTGCTCTATTGCTTGAAAACTAGTACATAGAATGTGATTTGGGTACAGGTTTTGGCAAGGATAGTTTACAGGTATTATGTGTTTACAATAGAAAAAATAGAATATTAAAAAAAAACTCATGATGTAAATAACCACTGATTATTCCCATTGGTTCATTAATGGGTCACTTCAAATGCTGATATTTTATTTCTTGGTTGCTGTCATTTGTTTTGAATTGCCAGAAGGTTTGCACATTTGCCAGAGAGAGACACGGAGGGAAGGAGAAAGCATTGCCCAATGCCGAAATCCCTCCTCTTCCATTCCTCGACCTGTGGGGTCCTGCATGCACATGCGCATGTGCCCAGTGTCTCTTTCAAGCCTCTGCGGCCAGGACTGACCTGCTGTCAGCCATGGAGGATCCAGCCCCTTAACCACTAGGGTGCCTGATCAGCCCATGATGTTTTAATTTTATCATTCCTGTATTTACTTGCTAGAATACTTTCATGAAGAGAACCTTCCCCTTATCAACTACATATTAACATTTAGTTAACCTCAGACATAGGAAAGTCAGGGTAAATTATTGATTCTTTACTATTGTTTTTTAATATAATAACTTGACTCTCTAGTTTCCTTGAACAGTGACCAGCAGGTATTTTGTTCTAACATAGTATGAAGTCCTGGATTATAACACTTCTGTGCATTCCAGTTTATTGCCAGTTACTCATTTCTGGTGTTCACAGTGTCATGTTTTGGGACAGCCTCTTCAATTGGCACTGAGTTCTGTAGGCGTGACCTCATGGCCACCTGGCTTCTGTGCTTTCTGGTATGAAACAATGTCTAGATTCATCTTCTACATTTTCTGTCCCAGACAGGAGTCTTAGTTGTTTTTAGTGGAAAACTGCTTTTAGCATTTGCATTAACTGATATATCACTAAAAGTATCAAGACTATTTTGTTCATAGTTTTTATGATATGTCATTTTAAAATGACAGACTTTCTGTTCTTTGACAGGATCGGCGAGCGTGCTCTCCTGCTGGCAGGACTCATTGTTATCTGGGCTGGCTTCTTCATCTTGTTACCTTGGGGAAATCAGTTTCCCAACATACAGTGGGAAGGTATAGCCATACTCAGTTCTTTCATGTGAGCCCCTATTGGCCATCCTAAATTAACAGTAATGTACTGTACTAACTTCGCTTTTACAGATTTGCATAATAACTCAATCCCTAACACCACATTTGGGGAAATTGTCATCAGTCTTTGGAAGTCTCCAAGAGACGATCACGTTGAAGGACCAACTGGCTGCCCGATTCAACAAGCCTGGTGCCTCTACACGCCTGTGATCCATCTGGCACAGTTCCTCACCTCGGCCGTGCTGATTGGGATAGGCTATCCAGCCTGCAATGTTCTGTCCTACTCGTTATACTCAAAGATTCTAGGGCCAGAGCCTCAGGTAAGCCAGCTGCCCTGACATGGTATTGGTCGTCAGGGAAGTCATGAGGTATTCTGCTGCTTTTCTATCCAAGAATGTGTCATGACTTTCCCGAGAACCCAATAATTATGTGAAATAGACTTTAAGTACTAAGGAAGTACTTGTAAGGAATTTTTGTCTATAGTTCTCTGTTCTCCCACAGGCTGATTTAGGAGATTTTTATCGTATTCAACATTTTAAATTAAAAAAAAAAAAAAAACCCACAACACTACAACTTTTGTGAAGTATGTACATGATTTATATGCTGAAATTTAACAAACAGTAACCTACGTTAGGACTCAGAAATTATTTGAGCTCTGAGATTATGAGTTCAACATCATTTTCATAGAAACTATCTGGAAGGGTAAATGTCCAAAATGCATTATTTGTCTTTTTTAAAAGAATTATTTATTTGTTGGTTTATACTGCTTTTATTTATTTATTTAATTTAATTTTTTTTGGAGAGGTTTTCGCTATAGGGCGCGTACGCTCGCCAGACAGACAGATAGAGAGACAGAAAGCAAGAAATCACCCCCCCAGAGGGATGGCCATGTCGCAATCCCTTCTCCATTCTCCTCTCGGGATCTTGGGCACGCACGCACATGCACCCAGTGTGAGTTTAAGCCACTGGGTCTGGGACTCGAACTGCGGTTGACTACGTGGGAGTCCAGCGACATAGCCATTACGGTAACTGCTGGTCCCATACTGCTTTTATTTTTCTTAAACTAATGATCATATTAAGTAAGTTTGTTGATTATTATTTGTTGTATTTAGAAAAATTTTATGGTTAACTTAAAAGATGGATAGGGTGATTCTTAGGACTTTGCATAGTTGGTAGTAGCAGCATTATCTGTTTTTCAATAACTAAACCTGAGTATCAATCTCCTGTCCCTCCCCTCATCCCCCACAGGGTGTGTACATGGGCTGGCTGACAGCTTCTGGAAGTGGAGCGCGGATCCTTGGGCCTGTGTTCATCAGCCAAGTGTATTCTCACTGGGGCCCACGATGGGCGTTCAGCCTTCTATGTGGAATAGTGGTGCTCACCATCACACTCCTGGGAGCAGTTTACAAAAGACTTGTTGCTTTTTCTGTAAGGTATGGGAGGATTCAAGAGTAAACTAGCCAAGACTGTGATGGAAAGTACTTGTGGTGTGGCACCACCTAGTCTAAGGCTCTGCTGGGCAACTGCTAGAAACCCATCTCCGTAAGTCAGGCTGCAGATACTGCCTGTTGTGAGGAAGAATATATATTGAATTACAGGAAATTCTACATGTAGTTGTGACTAGTAGAATATATATAAAAACATTCTGGTTATAATTTCCCTAAAAAAAAGAAACATTCTTCTTTTTGAGGGGAGACTTTTGCTATAGGGTATGTGCACTTGCTGGAGAGACAGCGTGAGACAGAGACAAAAAGTGAGACATACCCCTAGAGCAGATGGCCATGCCACAATCCATTCCCTTCTTGGGATTTTGGGCACGCACACACACGTGCCTGATGAGTTTCAAGTCACTAGATCTGAGACTCAAACTGCAGTCAGCCATGTGGGAGTCCAGTGCCTTAATCTCTACCCCACCTGCTGGTCCCTGAAACATTCTTCTTATATCACCTTTTTGGGGCTGCATGAACTAATGAGTGAATGAACAATGGTCTACAAATATTAAATTGTACTGATACAAATTGCAGCGGTGTCATTAGAATAGTGAACGAATATCTATGTAGTAGAGCCAGGAGAGTTCTGTTATGAATTAGATAAAGCAGAATGAAATCATAGAACTTTTAAAAATTTTAAATAGAGGTATTTTTATTCAAAGATAAAATACTTTTTATTTATAAAAGTACATTTTCTACTATCAAATTTCCTTATGAAATAAAATTTCATAAGGAATTTAATGAATTTTACATTTAGCATGCCTGCTATCACATCTTGCCATCTCTAAGTCTTTGTTCTAATCCTGTATCCCTCTTTTATTTTAGTTAGGATTCTTACTAATTAAGTCCTAAATTAATATGTGAGAATAACACTAATAGTTGAGTAATAAAGAAGATTTAGCTATCTTTTTAGTAGTGATAATTCCTTTTTTCTTATAAATAATTCACTTTAGGGCTGGCTTCGTGCCTGGTGGTTAGGGCAGCTAGATCCCACGTGACCCACCACCCGGTCTGAGTCCTTGTTCCTGTGGCTTCAAAAACATGCTGGGTGCGTGTGAGCCCAGAATCCTGAAGGAGGAAGAGATGAAGAAAAAGGGGTTGTGGCATAACTATTCCCCATGGGGGTTGTGTTCTCTCTCAAAAACTGCACATGCCTTCTGGCAAGTTAAAAAATTCAGTTTATCACGCCGGGCGCGTGTGCGTGTGTGCCCAAGATCCCGAGAGGAGAATGGAGGAGAAGGGATTGCGGCGTGACCATCCCCCCTGGGGGGTGATTTCTCGCTTTCTGTCTCTGTGTCTCTGTCTGTCTGGCGAGCGCACACGCCCTACAGTGAAAATCTCTCCAAAAAAAAAAAAAAATTCAGTTTAGAAAGATAAGCCATATATGTGTTATAGATACTGCTACAAAAGGTATCTATTTTTAAAATAATGTTGCCATTTTTCAATGACCTTAAACTCTGGAAAAAAACTTTCATTTCATCTCTCAGTAGAAGGGGGAATAAAACAGTTTCCAGCCTCTGATTACATAGCTACTTAGAGCTCCATAGTTTAAGCTGGGTTGACATTTTGGATGGGGCCTGCAAACCCCAATCTAGTCAGGTTAATAGAATTTGAGACAAAATGGCTTTAACCTTAGTTTGCTGAGATTACCTGAAGTTGCTGTGTCACACTCTCCATTCATACATTATCGTCACTACGTAGTTAAATGCTGAGAAAAGGAACTAGTAGAGAACTGTGCATATGAATAATCTGTATTATGAAAAGTGGGAATATATTTCAAATACTTTTCCAGATATTTTCTTGGTTGTATTTTCAAATCTGAGAGTAAACACTATAATCTATACTTTATACTAAGTTTGCTTCACTCTTAAACCCAGTGTCTTCTGCTTTACTGAAAGACTTAAACTGACAAAATCTCTACAGTTAAATTTTGGAGACTGTTTGCAGTCTTCTCTACCTCCCATAGCAAGACTATTTCAGGAGACTGGCTATTTGGGCAAGTCCTGGGATCCATCATACCTGTTTTCTGCAGCTCCTTTCTTTCATTTTTGGGTCACTTCCAATCCTGAAGAGTTCAGTGCACCCTTGGTTTGCACAGTGGCCATGATAGAAATGGAGGGAACAGAGAAGTTACTTGTCTTAACAGTGTGTCTTCAGAGCTCACTTTTTTTTTTCCGAGATTTTTTTGCTATAGGGCATGTCTCACTGGAGACAGAGACAGAAAGTGAGAAATCACCCACGACCCCTGGGGGATGGCCATACTGCAATCCTAATCCTAATCCCATGCACATCTGCCCGGCATGAGTTTTAAACTGCCAGGTCTGGGACTCGAACCACATTTGACTATATGTGGGAGTCCAGCAATGTAACCATTATGCCATCTGCTGGCCCCCAGAGTTCATACTTTTGACCACTATATTTTTCACAGTAGGGAAAATAGCCCAGTTATAGTATCAGTTAATTAATAATTGTAGGGTAAATTAAAGTATTTTTTTTGAGAGGTTTTTTGCTATAGGGCACATGCGCTTGACAGACAGAGAGAGAGAGACAGAAAGCGAAAAATCACCCCCCAGGGGGGATGACCATGCTGCAATCCCTTCTCCTCCATTCTCTTCTCGGGATCTTGGGCACGCACGCACACACGCCCGGCATGAGCTTTAAGCCACTGGGTCCAGGACGCGAACGGCAGTCAACTACATGGGAGTCCAGCGACATAGCCATTACGCCAACTGCTGGTCCCAAGTTACCTTACCAGTCTTAGCAGAAATATTTGGGAAACATAATTTCAAGCTCATTGATTAGGCTTTTATCTTAGCCTAACAGTCTATTTCCAGAAAGAATGTGACATAAAGAAGTTCTCCAGCATCAAAAGATTTATAATATTGGTTAAAATCCAGACAAATGATAACCTTGCAAAAATGCTCACCGCCTTCCTTTTTATTAAGGACCATTATTTCTAGAGGATTTATACCTGTGTATATCCAGGCATAAAAGACAGGAAGGAGAAAAACACTCTCTATAGAGTTGTTGAGTAGAACAAGTCCAGTATAAATTTTAAAAGATGGTGGGTGACCTTAAAGTCTGAAAAGTTGTTAAGAATAGTATATGTTTAAGAAGATATATTTTTGATAATTTAAACTTGAGAAAAAAGGTGATTTTCATTCAATCTAACTCACTTTGTCTACATTCAGAAGAAACCTTTCCAGTTGATATAAACTTTGTTCTTGCATAAAGTCAAATAAATATGTATATAATTTTTTGATTTGATTAGGATAAACTATCTGCATCTGTTCAAGAATTAACTTATTTTGAGAAGAAATTCTGGGCATGGTTTTTGACTTGCAGACTTATTTGTAATTTAATGTCTATTTATATTGTGAATGTTCCTTTTCTAATAAATAAGATTATGTATTGTACTTTAATTCTGTAACTTAATTCAGCTTTACTTTTAATACATCTTTAAGGGGGTACCCACAGTGTGCTAGTCATTGTGTGATTGTTGGGGATAAAGCAGTAAAGCAGTAAATAAAGTGCAGATTCCCCCCGCCCAGGCTTACATACCAGCAGGAGAGTCAGCTATTAACCAGATAATTATGGTTGATGGAAGGGTGATGGAAGAGAAGTATAGGGGGCTACGTGGATGACTATGGGTAACAGGGAACTTGATCCCAAACAGCAGTCAGGAAATCTTCCCTAAGGAAGAATGATTAGTTAAAGCCCAAAGGGTTGAGATTTGTTAACAGTATGACCAGCACATTTTAGGGAGAAGGCAGAGAATGTACAAAGCCCTGGAAGTGGAAAGATCTTAAGAGTGTTTGCAGAATGAAAAATGAGTCCAAGATGGCTGGAGTACAGTGACTACTAAGAGTCACATTAGTTGCTCTAAAGGGACAACACAAGGATTTTTAGGCCCTAGGTACACAACTCCTTGAAGTGTAACAAAGAGGTACAGACATCCTGACTTTAGGTATGGTTGGAGCCAGAGCCCAAATAATGTCACCAGGACCTTTTCTTTGGGTTCTCCATGCCCTGCTTGACTTCATTTTCAGATGTTCTCTGTTTTGTGGGAAGATGGCCACTGTCAGTCCAAGGCTGCAGTTCTCATAACTCTCGACTCCAGGAGACAATGGCCTGGGCAGAAGTACCAGAAAAGACTCCAAGTTGCCAAGTTTAGTTTACATGCCCATCCCTGAGCTGACCATATGTGGGGGTAGAAGCCTCAGCTAACCCGAGTGGACCATGCACCCATCCTGGAGGGAGAAGAGACAGTTTTACAAAAGGAAGGTTTGTTGAGGAAAAAAAAAAGTCCATTACTCATTTTCACATAATTGCAGTCATAAGAAAATATCACATGCCCTGTTGCAGAAAATGGATGAAGCCGATTGGACCCAGTATTCAACACAGGCCCTGGAAATCAGCCTTGAGCACTGAGAGGTTAATTTCCGATGTACAAATATAACTCATTGCTATGCAATGCGAGGAAGCATGGTGCTATACTATACCGTGTTAGCTACTATAGACTTCATTTAAGTCTCTCTCTGTCTTTCTGGTGAGCACACATGCCCTATAGCAAAAATCTCTTAAAAAAACAACAACAACAAAAAAAAAAAAACAAAGAGAAGTAAGATATTCAAAGTAATGTTGGCTAAAAAGAAACCTAGGTTCCTTGGGGAATGGCTGGCTTCAATACTGGGGCAAGATGACCCTGAGGTAGTGTCATGCCAGAAAGCAAGGGAGTGACCAAAAACTACGAATGTGCCACACGGACACAGGACTCATTACAGGGACTGCTGCTGGCAAAAAGGGTGCAAAGAAAGCACTGAAAGAATAACCTCTGGAGCTAATTTAAACACATCAAATGTGAGAAAATCCACAGTTCAAAACTGTATTAAAAATACGAAACTTGAAACCAGCAGTTGATGTAACAGCTGTGTCACCAGACTCTCATATAGTCGACTGCGGTTCAAGTCCTGGACCAGGTGGTTTAAATTCACGCTGTTTGCCCAAGATCCCAAGAGGAGAAAGGAGGAGAAGGGACTGTGGCATGGCCATCCCCCCTGAGGGGGGTGATTTCTCGCTTTCTCTCTCTGTCTGTCTGGCGATCGCATGGGCCCTATAGCAAAAACCTCTCAAAAAAAAAAAAAAAAAAAAAAAAAGGAAAAGAAACTCAATGGTCACCTTTGGAGGTGGCTATGGTGTCTGCTCTTTATTCTGAAAATTAGAAAATAAGACTCAAACATATTCTCCCTTCCTGGCTGAACTTTAGGGTAATTGGATATGAATGAATGAGGAAAGGTTCTTTTCTGTAGAAGAATCCAAGCTGATAGAAAGGGAATAGAATTAGAAAGATCTCCATTTAGCAACTCCTAGTGAAATACAGGCAATAATCATCAAGGAACACTAAAACCGTTAGGTAAAGATTAACAAGGAACATTTTAAGACATATCAGGCTGATGACACCTGAACTCACTGAGCACTGGTAACTTATTTTAGATTTTTGCCATCAGGTACGTGAGCTCACTAGAGACAGAACAGAGGGAAAGTGAGAAACCATTTCCCTGGAGCCGATGCCCACCACCAGTCCCTTCTCCATTCTCCTTTTGGGATTTTTGGACAAACATGTACATGCACGCGGCATGTTTTTCAAGCTGCTGGGTCGAGGACTCAAACTGTGGAGTCGGCCATGTAGAATACAGAGCTGTAACCACACGCCACCTGCTGGCCCTGATATTTTTTTAAGTTTTTAAATTTCCTCCTTGAGACAGATAGAGTGATAGATATCCCCCAGTAGGGTCTTCACGCCATATTCTACTCACAGTCTTAGTCGACCTGGATCGGAGCCACACACGTCTGGTATGCTCAGGAGGTCCTGGGATGTGGACCTTTCCCATGTCAGTACAGTTGTGTTACCTATGTGCCACCAGCTGGCCACCATTTTTAACATTATTAACAGCTAGATTAGCTCTGTGTGCCTCCTGAGATGAGTATTATGTTCCTCCTCAGCCAGAGTACACTGCACCACTATGAAAGTATTCCTGCCAAAACACCAAACCAGAGTCTAATCAACATTGTAGATAAAAAGTACCAGTTTAGGGACCAGCAGATGGCATAATGGTTATGTTGCTGAACTCCCATGTAATCAATCGTGGTTCAAGTCTTGGACCAGGAAGCTTAAACTCATGCTGGGCGCATGTGTGAGCATGTCCAAAATCCTGAGAAGAGAAGGGACTAAGGCATGGCGATCCCCTCTGGGGGGTGATTTCTTGCTTTCTGTCTGTCTCTCTTTGTCTCTCCGGTGAGTGCATGCTCCCTATAGCAAAAGTCTCTCTTAAAAGAAAAAAGAAAGTACCAGTTATAAGAAATACAGAGGAGAAACAAGTTAAATTCCACCTCCAAGAAGTAATCACAATCTAAAGATTATATTTTCTTTAGGACAATCCAGTTTCCTTTGGAAAAAAAAGAGTTGGGGGCAAGAATAGAATAAAATGAAGGTTGAAGAGACAGGCCTCATAGATGAGAAGACGTGAAAGACATATAAATCAAATGCATTATATAGTTCTTTTTTAGAGCCTCTCTCAAATGTAAAAATATATTTTTGAAGCAATTGGAGAAATTTGAAATTGAGTTCTATATTATTAGGTTAGGAAAGTCATGATGTATATATTTTTTTTTTTTGGAGAGATTTTCACTGTAGGGCGCGTGCGCTCGCCAGACAGACAGAGAGAGACATAGAGACAGAAAGCGAGAAATCACCCCCCAGGGGGGATGGTCATGCCGCAATCCCTTCTTCTCCATTCTCCTCTCGGGATCTTGGGCACGCACGCACACGCGCCCGGCGTGAGTTTTAAGCCACCAGGTCCGGGACACGAACCACGGTCGACTACATGGGAGTCCAGCGACATAGCCATTACGCTAACTGCTGGTTCCCATGATGTACTTTTCTATGCACTAATCATTGGTAACATGCCATACAGTACATGATGTATTTTTCTATACCAAAACACATCATGACTTTTCAGACAATTTTTGAGATTGAGGATATTTCCTTTTTATTGACCATGTGAATACCTTTCTGAACTATCCATATGTTCTGTTTCTTTTTTCTTAAATTCTTCTTTTTTAAAGAATTATTCCATCCAACTCCATTTATGTATGTTTTAATTTGACCAGAGAAGGACAGAGAAAGAGAGAGGAGTGAGAGAGCGGGGAGGTGAGAAAGCAAGTCACCAGGTCCAGGACTGGAACTGCGGTCCACCATGTGAGAGTCCAGTGCCCTTAACCACTATGCCACCTGCTGGCCTGGTATGTTTCATTCTTTCTATTGGGTTGCCTTTTTCTTATTAATAACTTTTAACTTACGTGGCAAATGTATTTTTTCACTGCCTTAGACGTAAACCTCAAAAACAATGTTGAGGGAACCAGCAGTAAGCGTAATGGCTATGTCGCTGGACTCCCACATAGTCAACTGTGGTTCGCGTCCCAGACCTGGTGGCTTAAAACTCACGCCGGGCACGTGTGCATGTGTGCCCAAGATCCCGAGAGGAGAATGGAGGAAAAGGGATTGCGGCATGACCATCCCCCCTGGGGGGTGATTTCTCGCTTTCTGTCTCTATGTCTCTGTCTGGTGAGTGCATGCACCCTATAGCAAAAACCGCTCCAAAAAAAAAGAAAAAAAAATAATTAAAAAAAAAAACAATGTTGAATAATTAGAACATTGTCTACTTGTGTACTTAACAGATATATCTACAATAGTTCTCTGATTATCAAAAAAAATCAGGGGCCAGCAGGTGGTGTGGAGGTTAAGATGGCTGGATGCCACATGGCCAACTGTAAGCAGTTTAAGTCTTGGACCTGGTGGCTTGAAAATCATACCAGGGAGACCAACAGTTGGCATAAAGGCTATGTCGCTGGACTCCCACATAGTTGGCCATGGTTCAAATCCCGGACCTGGTGGCTTAAACTCACGCTGGGCATGTGTGCGTGTGTGCCCAAGATCCCGAAAGAAGAATGGAGAAGGGATTGTGGTGTGTCCATCCCCCCTGGGGGGTGATTTCTTGCTTTCTGTCTATCTCTCTCTGTCTGTCTGGTGAGCGCATGCACCCTATAGCAAAAACCTCTTAAAGAAAAAAAAATCATATCAGGCATGTGTATGCATACCCAAAATCCTGAGTGAAGAATGGAGGAAAAGAGATTGTGGGCATCTCTTTCGGGGGATGATTTATTACTTTTCCTCTCTCTGTCTCTGGCAAGTACGTTCACCATATAGCAAACTAAAAACAAAACAAAACAAAAAATCCAGAAAATACAAGGTTAAATAGTATTTATAATATTTAAGTAGTTTCAGTCTATTCCTATTTTTTCTCTACCACAATAAAATATTCTTTTTCTTCATGTTAATTAATTGCATCATTAAGTTCTTCAATGTTAAAATACACAGATAGTTTCTGATAAGAGAAACAATGTATTTAATATTTATAAATTTAAGTGGCTTCTCCTAAACAGGAAACAAAACTGAAAAGTTTATTAGTAACTCATTTTAAAATAAGTATTTAATTAAATAAATCAAAAGATAAAGTAACTTATCACTATATTTATTTTTTTTTTTATAAAATGCATTCACAGAAACGTTTTATCAGACACTGGTGCTACAAAAATAAATATAAAACAAATATACATGTTTACATATGTTAGTTATAACATAAATACACATTATTTACATGTTCAAAAATTCCAAAACTCTAGCATATTTTGTCCACGATTCTCAACATGTCTGAGAAGTAGGGGAAACAATAAAAGCACAAATATATCACACACCACATGTATTTTTGCTTTTAAAAGATTGTTCAGTATAAATATATGAACACAGTAAATTTGGGAATATATGTTCCAAGTGCAAAGTTAGGTGTCTTCTTTTAATCTATGACCCATTTGTTAAGTGACTTAAGATTCATTCGGCTGTGTTCTCTAAGAACATGTCTTTAATAGTATAGATTAAATTTGCTTTCTTAGAAAGGCTTTCTGAAGAAGTTATATTAAGTAAAAAAAAAAAGTCACTTTATTTGAAAGCCATCAGAAAGGTTATTTATTAAACTTATATATCTGAAAGGAATTTTAATCAAGGAAAACTAGGAGTTGGATTAGAAAACATCAAAAGGATGGAAGAAAGACACTGTAATTTCTGTTTGATGTATTCTGGTAATTTTTCATTTTCTCTATACCTAAATGAAGAAAAAGACAAAAACATAAAACATAACTTAATTCCTTTGTTCTTATGAGAGTACTCAAAAACACATTACATTTTTCAGGAATTTTCTTTTCTTTCTTTTTTTTTTTTTGCAGAGGTTTTTGCTATAGGGTGTGTGTGCTTGCCAGAAAGACAGAGACAGAGAGACAGAAAGCGAGAAATCAGCCCCCAGGGGGGATGGCCACACCGCAATCCTTCCCCTCCACTCTCCTCTCGGGATCTTGGGCATGCATGCACATGTACCAGGAGTGAGTTTAAGCCACTGAGTCTGGGACTCGAACGGCGGTCGACTACATGGGAGTCCAGCAACATAGCCATACACCAAGTGCTGGTCCCAATTTTTCACACATTTTCTAATGACAAGAGGTACATCAGAAAATTATTTTAAATTATTTTTTTTGAGTAGATCATCTGGAGCTGGCCCTATAGTGCCCAGTTAAATGCTGTGCATAGAGAGCCAGATCCCACAATTAACAAAAAAACAACTGGTAGATATCTATAAACTATTTTTGTCCCAAGTATTTCCACTACAATAAACAGTTTTCATGAAGTAGTAAGTTTATATTGGTAGCACCCTATGGTTTTTTTATTTTTAGGTTTTTGCCATAGGGTGCTTGTGCTGGCCAGAGAAAGGGAAATGAGAAATCACTTCTTGGGGGGATGCCCCCACTGAAATCCCTTCTCCTCTCAGGATTTTGGGCACACAGGCACACAAAGCTCTGGGTCTGGGATTCGAACCAGGGTCGGCCATGTGGGAGACCTGCATCTTAACCACCACAGCACCTGCTGGCCTCAGCACCATATGTTTTTAATAAGTTATGTTTTAAACATAGAAACCAACTGCTTGTTCTAGCTAATGCCAGATCCCTTATTTTTAGCATGGTACTTGGCACATATTTTCATATAGAGTGAATATACATATGTGTGTGTATGTGTGTGTATATATACATACATATAATATATGAATATAATATATTCAAGTCTTTAAAATATTAGCCACTTTACATTAGATCAGGGGATATAACCTTTCACTTGAGAAAAATAAGTTATCTTTTTCAAAAGAGATTTTTTTGTTTCTATGTTCTTTTGTAAAGTCTATTAAGTCATTTAAGTCTATTACTTTGAGTCTAAGTCTGGAAAGGGTTCCTAGTTACACTATGGAATAATAAGGCTACAAGGAATCTAACCACTTCAACTGGATTAGTCATACCAACTGCCCTACGTTAATGTAGATAATCACGAATATGTGTTATAAAGGCTACATAAATTACTAAGAATGATTAACAGTTCAAACAATAATGTGATCATCGTTAAAACGAAAACAGTAACTTCATTAAATCATATTTCAGCATATAGAGAAAGCAAAGTTATAGCAAAGGACCGAATCCAACCACGACTTTAAGAACTTACCTAGTTGTCTGACCATTTGGTGACGTATAACTGATGGAAGACACTCCCGCCTGCACAACTAGCTGGGACCCATCATTAAACTGAACCCACACAGCTCCACTAGTTAACTAGAAAAAGAATAAGTATACAGAATTACTACAGAGGACTTGGGGTTCTTTAAAAACTACTCCATTTAATATATTTATATTTTATACAACATTCTGTATTATGGCATTTTGACTATGACCTTTCACATGAGGTCAGATGTGGCTTTTCTACTTGTGTGTCATTCCAGTGCAGAAAAAGCTTCTGATTTTGGAGCATTTCAGATTGTGGAGTACAAATGCTCAATCTGTACTCAGAAAATTTACTTTCCTCAAAAGTTCTCACCTGTGTAGCCCAGCCAACATTTTTCACAAAAACAGATTTCAAAAGTTGTGCTGATTTAGGAAGACAATCTTTTACACTGTTAGAAGAGGTGCTTGCTCCAGAAGCTGCGGTTGTAAGGCCGGGCCCTTCATCTGCGGCTGTCTGCAAACAGTAAAGAACATCGAAGTTTTAGTCTAGCATTTTTTTTTTAAACTTTATTTATTAATTTGTGTATTTCAATTTGACCAGAGAGGGACAGAGGGAGAGAGAGAGAGTAAGAAAGCCGCCAAGTCCAGGACTCGAACCATGGTTGGCCATGTGAGAATCCAGCGCCTTTAGCCACCATGCCACCTGCCGGCCCCTAGTCTAGCATTTTTATAACCCAACTTCAACAGAAGTAGAAAACCACCAACTTTTCATTAGATAACAGGAACATTTTAAAAACCAAAACATTTTTAATTAAAATATATTATTACTGAAAATTAGAAAAACACAGAAAAGAAAAAAAATCATAAAATTGCTGCTTTTGGTTTGGCAGATTTCTATTGTCTCCTTTTCCTAAGGCATATACTTTCCACAGCTGTAATCCTGTGTGTGTGTGTGTGTGTGTGTGTATGTGTCCCCATATTTAATGTTGTACTTTTCTACATTGCTAAATAGTCTTCATTGGTATGACAGTTCACTGACTAAATACATAATAAATTTCTTTAACCATGAACCTATTATGCATATTTAGGTGTTGACAAGAAAACAACTTTTATAGTTAATATATTTAGCTTTTTCCCTGAGAGGTCAGATTAGGCCTCACTGACGTAACATTTAAACAGAGACCTGATGGATGAGAAAGAACTAGTCACATGAAGCTAAGGGGTTGGGGGGAAAGAGCTCTTCTTGAATAGCATACGAAAAGGCCTTTTGTTTTTTTTTTTTGAGAGATTTTTGCTATAGGGCGCGTGCGCTCGCCAGACAGACAGAGAGAGACATAGAGACAGAAAGCGAGAAATCACCCCCCAGGGGGGATTGGTCACAACGCAATCCCTTCTCCTCCATTCTCCTCTCAGGATCTTGGGCACGTACGCATACATGCCCGGCGTGAGTTTTAAGCCACCGGGTCCAGGACGCGAACTGCGGTCGACTATGTGGGAGTCCAGTGACATAGCCATTACGCCAACTGCTGGTTCCCCGAAAAGGCCTTTTGACTTGTTCCAAGAACTAAAAGAAGGCCTCTGAGGCTTAAGTGCAGATAGTATGGCATAAAGTGGCTCAGAATGAGACTAGACAAGTAGGTAGGTGACAGTAAAGCTACAGTAAAGCATTTTAATTCAGGCAACATGAAAAGTTTAGTATAGAAGTGACATATAATTACTTACAGAAGGATTAAGTATCGGTGCTTGCGTTGGAGAAGCAGCATTATTCACGATCATTCTGCTCAAAGATGGTCTCTCTCTCACTGGGTAGTTTGGATCCACGGAAGGAGGAGGTGATAAAGACTTGGGTGAACTAATACTACCAGGTTTCCTGAGGGAGAAAGAAGTGTCCAACTATATTCCCTTCAAGCTTTCAATTTAGAGAAAGCCAAAGAATGTTTATAATGGGAACACCAAACTTATTTCTTAACATACACCTTTTAGCCATATGGTTAAAACGTTCAATACTTTACCTTCCTACAATTATTGGGAAAAAGGAAGCACTCCTACTTTTCTCTTCCTCTTCTGAAATGATAGATTCCAGTGCTAAACAAATACGATGACCCTATTTCAAAAGAAGAACGTTTTCCATCATTGTTTCCCGTGTCATTTGTAACCAATATTAATTGGTATGAAAAACCTACGAGTAGGTATGTACCTCATTAGCATGGTCCATATAGACTTTTATTTCCTCTTTCAAGATATTAACTTCACTTTCACCTTTTAGAGTGTAAGATTTTCCAGTCTTTTCAATCATCTGAATGAAATCTTGTGTTTTATGTATTTTTGTTCCTGAAAAATAAGCACAAAAATATTCTTTTATCATTTGTTTAAATATTCTTAGATTTATATTCATTATTGCACAAGCATGTAATGGCTTCTAGATCAAATTATCACTTTTATTCATTTATAAACTACTAATAAAATGAGACGCTTAGGCCAGTAGGTGGCATGGAGGTTAAGCTGCTAGACTGCACATGGCCACCTATGCGGTTCCAATCTTGGACCCAGCAGCTTAAAATCACACCAAGCATGTGGCTTGCATGTCCAAAATCCCAAGAGGAGACTGGAGGAGGCGGAACTGTGGTGTGGCCACCCCTCTAGGGGTGTTTTCTCACTTTCCCAACTCTTTCTTCTCTCTCTCTCTCTCCAGTTCCCTATAGCAAAAATAAATACAATAAAATAAAATCCTGTGGTTCAACCTTATTCTTTTTATTTTAATTCTGTCAGAGGAAGTGGCTATTCCCTAAACAGACATGGGGCAAAGAGTGATGATCATGCCACAATCCCTTCTTTTTTTTGGATTTTGGACACCCATGCACATGGCACCAGGCATGTTTTTCTGAGCCCCTGGGTCCAGAACTCAAACTGTGCAGCTGGTTATGTGGGATCCAGCCACCTTACGCATCATGCCATGGGCTAGCCCCAACCGTATTTTTTTTTTTTTTGCCACGTTTATAGTTCTCATAATTTGGTATATGTCCATTTGAGTTTCTAATAAGAAACCAGTAAGAAATAGATACTGCTGGGGCCGGCAGGTGGCATGGTGGCTAAGGGCGCTGGACTCCCACATGACTGACTGCAATTAGGGTCCCAAACCTGGCAGCTTGCTTTCTCACCCCCCTCCTACCGCTCGCATCTCTCTCTCTCTTTCTCTCTTTCTTGCTCTTTCCCTTTTTTTATCAAAAATAAAGTTAAATGAAAAATAATTCTTTTTAAAAAAATAGATACTATTTATGTGACTATTTTTTTGCTACAGGGCACATGCACTTGCTGGAGAGAGAGAGGGAGATAGAGAAAGTGAGAGAGAAATTACTCCCAGAGAGGATGGCCATCCCGCAATCTCTTCTCTTCCATTCTTCTCTCGGGATTTTGGGCACACACACACACACACTCAGAGTGTTTTTTAAGCTGTTAAGTCCGTGACACAAACCACATAGTTGGCTGTGTGGGATCTAGACACCTTAAACTCCATGGCACCTGCTGCTCCTGTCATATTATTTTTATATAATCAATCTAGATGTAGTTAAATTGGAGCTAAGTAGGGAAAAAGGTATATAGGAAGGTATATATAAATAAATTTTGGTTAAAATGATTTCACATGTAGTATACTGTGCTGTATAATTTATGTGTACACATATAAAATGTTAAAATATGTATGTTAAAAGCTCACTGTATTGAATTAAACAACAACAAAAAAACACGAAACAATTACTAAATTACAAACTATGAGGGAAAAAAATTACATTTCTAAACAGCACTCACCATCATAAAACCAAACCTCAAAATCAGCACCAGGAGAATTCTCCATCAAAACGCATTTAGCATATCTTGTAAAATAAGTGATTTTGGGAGATTTAGATCTTACTAGCTGTACAAACCTAGAAGCATACTGATATTTTCGCCAGTACTTTTCTACAGGGAATAAAGAAAAGATATTAGGGAAGAATGTATTGACATATAATTTCATTACGTTTTGATTTCTAAATGGGTTAGATTAGATAGGTTTTCTTATTCGTTTCTAAAAGTTATCTGAACAAAATCTTATTATTCAACACTTATTTCTTTAATACCTAATATTCAGACACTGGACTGGGAGTCGAATTTGGTTAACTACAATTATAAGTGATCATTTATGTATCATAGCAATGATTTAAAAGGTCATAGCAATGATTTAAAAGGTCAAAAACAAGATAACTTCACATTAAATTTCCCCCCATGATTCTAATCAAATTAGTAACTAAAATGAGTGCACAAATTATATTTGTGCGATATATGACTAATATCCCAGGATGAGTTTTTACTTATGTAGATACTTAGTATCATATCACAGAATATCAACAATAAACATTGAGTTAAAAAGGCATACCAAATCTTACTAGATACAAAGTACAAAAACACGACCTCTAGCCTGACTAAAGCCAAGATATTTATAACTCATCATGTCCATAGAGTGTATGTGTGTGTTTATAAATTATATAAATTTATTCCCTGGTAAATTTACATACCTGGTAAGTTGTCAAAAGTGTACCTACTGATGCTATTGGTAGGTGAGGGTGGTCTATCAGTTAGAGGAAAACCTCTTCCATCATTTGGATAATAAATAGTGATCTGACAAAAAAAAATCAAAAATTCTCTTGATATATATCAAGTTAGAGCATTACACTTTTTACAAAAAACTACTAAAAATGTTCATCTAACATTAAATACTATTTTATAGAAAAATGTTAAATATTCTCTTAAAGTAATATTTGGGCTTTTTAAACATAAGCCAAAAATTTAGATTTTTGTTACTAGAATTATTTTAAAAACAATGCTAATTTATTAAAAGATATGTATGCTATTTCACTTTTTGAATTGCAGAGACATTATGATTTCAGGAAAACTAAAACAAATTTAAAGATATCACTGTAGAATGAACTGGGATTTTAATGCTTATGTGATGATTTCAAGCTGCAAGATAAGAAAGTAACTTCACATTACCGTATTTCCATCAGTAGATATTTGAAGAACTTCTTTCACATATTCTTGAGATGTATACTCCTTTAGAAGCTCTACACATACCTCCTCTGAGTCTAGTATGCTCACCTAAAGATAAATAAATAAAAATAAATCATTAACTATTTTCTTGTCTGCTACAATAGCTCTCACATACATTAACACTGAAAAGTACTTAACCATGGCAGAAACAGATATTAAAGTCAAAATCAAATATCTGCTTCACTGCAACAGTCTAGACCGAATGTGTATTTGAAAACAACTGTGAGCCATAAGGCACAGAGGTAAGCAAGCATAATGAAGCGTGAAATAATAACCAATGAGCTGAAAGAGCAGAAGGGAGGGTGGAGAGCTAGGACTTTGAAGAGACAATGGCAGACCAAACAAAGGCAAAACTGGATAAAGTAAGAAACAAGGAACAAACAGGATGAAAGTGACATTTTAAAACTCTAAGCTTCAATGTGCATATTTTTCTTTACATAGCTCCAGACACATACAAAATGAAACGAAGTTAACTTATTTTCCAGCTTTCATGTGATTGGGTTAAATGTAGAGACAAACAAAAAGCAAAGGGATAATACTAAATATTATTCACTGATTGGAACTGTAAATAGTATCTAACAATATATAGAAACTATTACATTAAAATGTTTTTTGAATGTATTTTATTTAATAATTTACAACTTATCAGTATCAATTCACAATTCCTAAGATTCTTGAGGGAAATTAACATTTTTTTCCATAAATGCTCAGTCTCTTTTCTCTTTAAATAAATTTATCACATATATTCTCTAAGTACAGAGATATATTATAGGAGATGAAAATATTATCTTCTTGAGCATTATATTCTTTTCTAAAAAAAATTTTATTACTTAATTTTTTTTTTAAAAAAGAGATTTTTGCTATAGAGCATGTGTGCTCACTGGAAAGACAGAGACAAAGAGAGACAGAAAGTGAGAAATAACCCCACAACGGGTGATTTTCCTCAATTCTCTTTTCAGGATTTTGGGCATGCATGCACACGTGCCCAGTGTGTTTTAAGCTGCCTGGCCTGGGACTTGAACTGTGGTCGGCCATGAGAGAGTCCAGTGATGTAACTGCTATGCCATCTGCTAGTCCCACAAATAATTAATTTTTAATTTGATCAGAGAGAGAGAGAAAGAAAGGGAAAATGAGAAAGAAGTCGCCAGGTCCAGGATCCAAACTGCAGTCAGTCATGTGCGAGTCTAGCGCCCCAACTACCACGCCAGATGCCAGCCCTGAGAACTGTATCCTTAAGAAAAATATATAGTAACTTAGGAAAATAATAAGACGTACCACAGCTTTTCTGGTTTTCTGTCTGATTGGTTTCAACCTGCGAGCAACCAGAGGGGAGGTAATGCTTCGTAGTGTACGTTTCTCATAACTCGGTGGTGGCTCCACACCCCTAGTCTTGGTTTGTTCAGAAAGTGCATCTAAGCCAAAACCAGATTCTTGTTGAATTATCTCAGGTTTACTGTGACGTGCAGATGTGTATTTCATGGTGTTTGTCTGTTTTACAGGATGTGCACTATCAGAAGCGTCGGTGTTCTTTGGGGCTCTTCTATCAGTCCAGGTATTTCTTGATGTGTCCTGCAAATCTGGATGGCCCTGGAAATCTCTGTTTGGGTTGTTGTGTTCAGTAGTTTCTCTTATATGATCTATAACATACACAAAATTAAGCAATTCAGTAAAGAATTCAAAAGCCAACTCTACATAAAATGTTAAACAGTTATAAGAGCATTTTTTAAAAAAGATCTAGTTAAAAAAAAGAGCTCATAACTTTTCTAGGAAATAAGCAGTTTATTAAGATATGACAAAATAGGCAACCTTTGGGCATGGCCGAGGGAGAGGTAAACAGATTTCATTTTCAAGATGGAAAGTCCTTGGGACCAGCAGTTAGTGTAATGGCTATGTCGCTGGGTTCCCATGTAGTCAACCGCGGTTCGAGTCCCGGACCCAGTGGCTTAAACTCACGCCGGGTACATGTGCTTGCGTGCCCAAGATCCTGAGAGGAGAATGAAGAAGAGATTGCGGTGTGACCATACCCCCTGGGAGTGATTTCTCGCTTTCTATCTCTCTGTCTCTTTTTGTCTTTCTAGCGAGTGCATGTGCCCTATAGCAAAAACCTCTCCCCCCCCCCAAAAAAAAAGGATGGAAAGTCCTTCAGACCCACCTGTGATTTCTTTATTCTTTTTCTTTTTTTGGAGAGGTTTTTGCTATAAGGAGTGCGCTTGCCAGAAAGCCAGAGAGACAGAGGGACAGAAATCGAGAAATCACCCCCAGTGGGAATGGGCCATGCTGCAATCCCTTCTCCTCCATTCTCCTCTCGGGATCTTGGGCACG